GATATAACGGGACGACATGGACTGGGATAGAGAAACAAAAATGGGGAGGGATTTGCAAATATATGTGCCTTCGACAAATTGGTTATAGGTAGCACAATATTCCCACCATAAACGCATTTTTAAGGCTACATGGGTCTCACCGGATCACGCTTCAGAGAATCAGATCAATTATTTTCGCGTTACTAAAAAATCAGGAGGTTAATGGAAAACATAAGAACCAGGAGAGAAGCTGACATAGATTCGGATCGTCAACTGATTGTGGTTGCCAATATGAAACTGAAGCCGAAGAAGTAATGGTCAACTGGGAAAACAGAATCATTAAGTTTTGGTGCAGCCTTCCTTTGAGATATTAGCAAACTCAACGAATTCAAGATAACTATCAACAATAGGATCTACTGTAAGGTGAAGAAACTACTATGGAGGACAACTGTAAAGTGTCCAAAGAGTCACTAAATTCAACGTGTCAGGTGGTACTGGGCTGTAACAAACATCATCATAAGGAATGGATCTCTATGGAAACCCTGAACAAGATTCAAGAACGGAAGAACAAGAAAATAGTAATTAACAACATCCTAACAAGAACAGAGCAAGGCAAGGTACAAGCTGGATACACAGAAGAAAACAAGCAAGTGAAGAGGAGTATTGAAAGTGATAGGCAGCAATACGTGGAAGAGCTTGTGGTTGGCGTCGAGTCGCCAATGATCATGAACACCACCACAGGAAGATTAAATGCCAGGTATTAAGTTGGTTCCCTCGGTAGGCCAAAAGCAGAAGGTGGTTGACGGTTGTAATAAGATATATTTGTTGGCGATCTCGTTGTGTCTAATGAATACCAAGATCGTGCCAAAGTTTACAAGCGGAACTACTGAGTGTACGCGAGTTCCTGAAAGATCAACAACAACAAACAGGTACAGTTAAACAATCACTGGTACGATTAATGATAATAATTGTTCCCATTATACCAGTCACGTTCTCGTCATAAAAGTAGGTCATTACAAGCTAACAACGACGGTGGAAAAAGCTGCAAAAAAAGGAAATATGAAACGACTTTATGACACAACAAAATAACTGACAAGGAAATATAGTAAACCAGAGATACCGGTCAATGAAAAAGAAGGCAAGACAATCACGAAATTCAAGGAAAAGGAACAGATGGGTGGGAAACTTCGAGGAATTCTTGAGTAGATCAGCTACATTGAATTCATCAGATAACGAGGCAGCACCTTCAGAACTTCCTATAGTTGTCACTCAAACAACGGCCGAAGAAATCAGGGTAGTCGCCAGACAAGCCAAGAGCGCGAAAGCAGCAAGATCTGACAAAATAGTAGTCGCAGCACTGAGGTCATACATAGAAGTAACTGCGATGGTGCTCCACATTCTATTCAAAAAGATTTGGAAGGAAGAACAAGTGCCGATTGATTGGAAAGAAGGGTAAATTGCTGTTCCGTACCTGAGAATCAATAAGTGCATTCCCAACAAGAGGCAATCAAATATTTATATTCAAGGGTTCGATGATGACGTACCCTTCTTTCCAATCAGTCGGCACCTGTTCTTTCTTCCAAATCTTTTTGAATAGAATGTGGAGCACCATCGCAGTTACTTCTATGTATGACCTCAGTGCTGCGACTACTATATATAAAAGCAATTAAACGGAATTCCACTTCAGGAATCAAAAAATTATTCTTAAATGACGAGTATATATTGTTCTAGTAATAATCATACCAGATTTCACAACAGACCCTTAAGTTTTAGGTTTCTGAACCAAGGTTCCCAAAATACTTAACCGGAATAGTGTGAAACTGGAGAAGTCCAGGGTACATACAAAAAAAGATTTAGGAATAGAAAACTTGTTTACAAGAGTCCTCAGTAAAACTTAAATTAAATGACAGGGTAGGAATAAAAAACACCAAAATATTATCCAACAGACCACTTTTGGGGAACTTTCATGATGTTTATTTCCTCACGCTTATTATGGAGTAAACGTTATTGTGTATAAATAACTGGTACTTGTTGATATTACCTGTGTTATTTACCGTTTGTTCTAATTTCGGTAACAGTAATTGGTGTGAACCGCGAAACAAGAAGCCTTAACAAATTACGGAAGCTATTTTTGAGGACGGTAATTCATTTAATTCAAAGCTTGTAAAACTGTAACATTTACTTTTGCCACTAGCCTGCTCTACAGATCATGAGCTTTCGTTTGATGTATAATTCACTGCCATAGCATTTTTTGTTCTAAAGCTATTGTCATTTAGACGTAACCTTTTGTACTCTATTTTCTACTACAATCCCCCAGTTTTGGACATAATTGTATTTTCCTAATTATTGTACGTTGTGGTCAGCTTATTCATCTATTTATTCATGTAACTTTTCACCCTAATCTGAATTGGGAATTCGAGTAATAGATCGGGATTGGAATAAAGTGATTAGTGTTCCACCTGTTTTTGTCTTCTCTCTCTCTCACGTGCTTGCCAGCCAATCAGGGATAGAATAGTTTTCGTCTCTCTACCCCCACTTCGAACTCACGCATACTAGCCTCAAGGTTAAGTCAGTCAGCCTATCGGGTCAAGGTCTTAATCTACATTAGACAAGTCATACTCGGCACTAAAGTGGGTAGACATATTCAAGGACGTAACAGTTATAATGTTCTTTTCGTTTTCTTCTGTTTCTCAATTTAGCCGTAAGCTCATTAATTGGTCATGGGCCAATCATACAGTTATCCATTGTATTACATTCTGAGATTTGGAGAAAACGAAATGTGTCTTGTTAGTTGAATGAGCCTGGAGTAGTTTTGAAAAAATTACCTGACACATCAATTTCATAGGACACTTTGATAAAGATTAACTGAGATGAGTCTCGTGACACTTATGCCCAGGACAGTAATATAATTTTCGAGGATTTTCATATAGTCGGGCTTCGGAGAGTTTGTAGTGGTGTAGGGTCCTGACGAAGCGATCTCTGAAGCCGAGCACATAATTACTGAGATTCGCACTCAATATGTAACGCTTAGGAAGGTTGAATATAGTGAACACGGAACAATTGATCGCTATGGAATGGTTCAGCTTTTCAGGCGTGGTCATTTTATGTCTCTTGTTACTATTCACACTAAATATCTCATTCTACGCCCAGCCCAAATGTTTTCTTCAGAATTACTGAGCATCATATTGCTGATTGTCACAATATGATGAGTCAGTGTAGACAATGGTGTGACTTCCAAGTAAGGTCTTATAGGTTAGGTAATCACATCGTGACAAATCTACAATTTTGGGATTAAGTCTATTATTATAGTAACACTAATACTGACATTTTCTAGTAGTTTATCTGGATGCTCCAAATACCATTATTGAAGTATAGTCACTGGAAAAACCGCCTTTGCCAACCCTTAGACATTTTGCTAGCTATAGCTGCCGAAGAAACACAAGAGTCTCACTTGAAAATCCAAGTGATACAATAGTGTGTCGTGAAGTACAGTAAAATGAACGACAATTTATTTGGTCCGGATATGATCCATTCTGGTAACTGTTTAGTTACCTTTGACTTAATGCATTACATTGTATATAGCCGAAGTAAATGGCAATACGGTATGTCTTTTGACAGGCTTACAGGGGTGGGTGTCCGGGTCACTTATCTACTGGAACGCGTATTTTTCAAAATTCATTATTTTATGACCCTGTAAGCTGAGGAGAAACTTTTACATTCAAGAAGATAGGTAAACTCTTCAAAAGAATCCAAATGAACCTCTTTATTGAGTGCGAACCACGAAGAATCTATAATCTAAAACTATTTCTCCTTCCTTTTCAAAACTATAACAGGATTTTGAGCTCATCCTCACATGAGTCACAAAGCCAGTGTGTGGCATCAAGTTTCAAACCTTTTGTTTGCCCGTAAACACACTGGGAGTTTTCGTTGAGTCTTTTTGGAACTGTTTACTTCATCTTGGTCGATTATCAACATGCTCTCTTTCCAAGTAGACTCTGTCATACTGTCCTATTGGCATCTTATAACAGTGAGATAAACGGTCGCATGAAGGTAACTAATATTTAACGTGGACAGAACAGACTGTATGTCTGCATCATTAGCAACATACTACTACATAATACTGGTTAATGAAAAGTGGCACTGGAGAATAGCATTGACAAATCAGCTTAAACTCCCTGAATGATATAGTCACCAGTCATTTGATAATAAAAAGCCTTTATGTGATGCACTAGGAGACTTTCAGACAGGTTTTCTGGAGGCTAGCGCTTCCTGAAGTTTATCTTCAAAACTTTGGGCAACTTGACCTCTGAATTATCTATCGTCATTGTTAAAATATAACTGAAGCTCCATATTGGATAAGACTAATTCATAACGTTTCCGTACCTCAAGGAGTAACTAAACAGAATATCGGGTTTAGGAAGACTGCAAATTAAGCCAGCTTCGGGGCAATAAACTTGATTGCTGTTTTATACAGAAGTATAAGAGTAGTAAAGTTACTGTGTATCATATCATTTGTAGCCCATTTTATATATTGTCTTAGACTTCTAAAACACAAAAATAAGGGTGTAATGATTTCAGTGATATGCAATATTTGGCAACACTGTTGTCCATAACACCTTAGTTGAGGATACCAAGGCCTGTCAAAATAAAATTTAAAAATGTAGGGATCTGAAAATATATAATGAAAATGGTTGACAAATAGAGAAGCATATATACATATGGCGGATACCTCACCGAAAACCTTCATATAGGGCTGCGTTCAGTAGAAGTAGTTAGTTCAGGGTCGATCTAGGTTATTTACTACTACAGGTAATACCTTTCCATGCAAAAATGATCTCCTTAACAAAGCATTATTAGATCCCATAAAATAGACGGTCTGACATTTTTATTTAAGAGATTTTTGCGCTTGAAGTTTATAACTACATTTTAAGTGTGTCTCAGTAGTCAAAAGCGAATGTAGAGAAGTCATTTGGTTTAAACTATCTTGCAAATTGAGAAATTGAGTATTGAATTAGGACCTTGGAATGGTTAACGATTTAACCTAAGCAGATGGATGTCCGGGATGTCCTGTCGTTTGCGGTAGACTTTACTGCTTACATTATCTATTTATTCAGTCACCAAGCCCTCAGTTGAAGCGGTCTTTAAAACCTCCTCCCCCACCATCTCTTCAACTTGAAATAGATGCAAAACGGCCCAAGGTTAGCGCTGATCATATATCCGCATTTTCTGATACTTCATCCGATGTTGGTGATCTCGAAGGTAGTTTCTTTGTTCATAACCTGAAGTTAGTAAAAAAATTTATTGTTATTATTATAAGTATGGCGAATCCAGAAAGTACCTTGCTGCTTCATCCGTTAGTAAAAAAATAAATATATGTATATGGTATGTATTTTAACATTTTGAACACATCACCATGAAGCATGAGAACGAACATAAGCTGCTGCTCGCCTTTCAGACTTAACTTAAATTTTGGTAGCACTAAAAATGTGCCATAAACACTTATACTACCCGTCAACTGACTTGTGATTTAAATGTCTTGCATATCTTCGTAGGGTAAAATGACGCATTACGTATAAAGTAATAAGGTGTTTGTGCAATCAAGCTTCAGCGATTAATCTTATCTCAAGTGATTTCAGCTTCACTGATGGTTAACTTAAGGAGGAGCAGCATCTTTAATAACAATTATTTTACTCGTGGCAGAAAATCACAGTGGTCGTTTTCTCGTTTTCTTAATGTGTTATCCCATTAAATGAATTTCAACATGGTGATAAATTTGGCGTATTCTTGTCGGACAAACAATGCGGTCGTATCCAACAAACTGGATTTAGAAGAACGGTTGTTAACCTACGGTTTTAATCTGGTATTAGTCCCACTTAGGATGTGTCCATAACAACCAGTAATAATTCCTATTCTTACTGATATCTTAACAGTAGTAAAGAGTGCGAAGTAATGTCAAATGAACTTATCTATTGAGTTATTTCTATTCCATGTTCATTTACAAAATAGTGTCTTTCTTATGAGTATTTCTTGTATTTCTGTACTTCAGATTTTTCACGTCCGTTCAATGCACCGGATTCGTGGGATTCAGAAACAAGCAATGGACCTACTACTGTTGGAGCAAATGAAGTGACTGAGACTACTGTCCGTCGACTTACTGTACTTCTCGAAAAACGTGCTCTGAGCAACCAGGAAGCTCGAACTAAGTTCCCTGACCAACCTAAGCGTTTTATGCAGTCAGAATTGGAACTGCAAGAGACACTAGAGGAGATGCAGGTTAGTATCTTATGGTGTTTATGGTGGGTTTTATTGATAATAACCTGGAATTTAACTTTATTATGGGGAATTTTATGTGAGTTCGAAAGTGAGAACTATGTTTTTCTATCATTGATGTTATGCAGTTCATAACTAAAGGAAGCATAGTTATGGCCAACTTTCAGGTGCCATATTCTCTGTCATTCGGTCATTTTTATTCAAGAACGTTGAAATTAGTTAGAATATATATGCACATATCTATATTAAGTATGTCAGTGATATACTTGGTGACTGGGTTATATAGCAGTTGTTTCACTTGTAAGCTTTCTTATTTTGTTGTTAAATACCATTCAGTCATTCAAACTAACATTATCGTTTGAGTGTTAAATTATTATTCTCCCTAGTTTCCAGGATTTCTCAACAGTTTAACCATTGTTTACTAGTCAGTCTCCACATGACTTTTCACGGCGACCGTGTTGTTTAGGAACTCAAGGGGATGAAAATCAAACGTCCAGCGCTTAAATCTCGTTGGTAGTTTCGAAGTATCCACCTGGGGGAGTTAGAAAACCCTGATTACAAATAGTGTACATGGGCTCCAGAATCCTGACGAAAAAATGACTACCATTGGACCTCATCTTTTAACCTTTCATCATTGCCTTGTGGATTATATCTGAGTCAAAGGCTCGAAGAGTGGTCATCTGAGAAAACCATGTGTTCCAGTTTGGACGTCTGCGGGGTATCAGTCGAGTTAGAGTTTTCGTTCATACATTTGATAAAAAGGGTGATAGGGCAAAGAAATAAATCTTTTGAGCGATTTTCACTGATATTTATAATAATAATAATCATAAAACAGACGGACTAGGAAATTCAGGGAATGTTTAGAGTTTGGTAATACATCGACTCAGTAAATGTGACTCAGAGAGAGACACATCAAAATTGTATAGGAACACAAAAATTAAAGGAATTTCGAGGAAGAAGTAAGTAAAAATTCCTTTTCAGTCCGCATTGTTTTAGCTTAAGTCAATGACCAAAGCAAAGAGTTGGATTGTACAACTTTTTTTGGACACAGGGGTCTAGTTTATAGGTGTGGATTTTAATTGTTTTCGCGGTATTCTAAAAAAAACACTAAGTACTCAGTATGTTATATAAAATACGGTGAATAATTTGAAAATTTTTATTCAAGTTTATTTGATATTCCATGGTAATAAAGTGAATAGGAATAAATCACTTGATCGTCTCTGACTGTCCATTTCTCAACCAGGCCAGATAGTGTTCGGAGATAGGATGACGGATATATCGTTATTGTGTATTAGTTAGGGTCCACATAAATTACTAACCTTTGTCCAGACAGATCTATTCCCTTCTTTTTTTTCAAAAAATTAAATAGCCTACATTAGTTGTTTTTATCTCCTTGAAAAATGACTCGTTTTAACGTTTATTTTAGGTGCTTGCAGCGAATCCAGAATTGTATCCAATCTTAGCGGAACAAACACGTCCCATATCACTATTGTTAGGTTTATTGGCTCATGAAAATACAGATATTAGTTTATCTGTTATTGATCTGTTGCATGAATTACTTGAATTTAGTTGTTTACAAGAAGCCGGATTAGGCAAAGTTAATCAATTTTTAGAAGTTTTATTTTCTGGACAATTGATACAATCACTTATACAGAATATTTCACGTTTAGATGAGACAAAAAAGGATGAAGCTGATGGTGTACATAAAACACTCGGTGAGTTTAACTTGTTAGATTGGTTATTGGTATTGGTTGGATTAAAATCACTCAGTCAGTCATTCACAATGCACAACATGGTATGCATGTAAATCGGTTCAAGTTACCATACCCCATTAGCAAAGAAATGAAATTACCGGGCCGAATCTCAGATTATTAGAGGTAGTAACAGTATCATTGGTAATGGCGAAGATAAAGCGTCGAAGATACGATCCGAGAAAATATAAATTAGTGAAATAAAAGAAAAAAGAGTTATGAGGAATTTAGAATCTCAGAATTTGAAGGAAGACAAAGAACGGATGTACATGTGCCATTGCATATGGTTTTGAGCCATGTCATTAAAAGTAACCATTGGTTGCGATAATCACGCCGACCCCGACCAGTCAGTCTACACATATTAACACGGCTAGGTTCGGTTGTCAGTAAATTTATAGCAACCATCCTACAATCAATTTCGATTCTAGTCAATTCTGGTCAAGCCCTTTTTATTAACTTACTTAACAGACATTGTCATTCGGATAGTAACAATTTGCATATTCTTTGCACTGCTATACCACTAGAACATATGACACTCTAGCCGAAATCTTGACTGCTTAAATATCATTCGATGACTCATACTCCTCACCATTATATGTATGCACGCAAATACTATTATCAGTCTTTGTTTTGTTTTGCTGTGCCCTTATTAAATCTGACTATAAATTACCTGTGTAATTACTTGCTACTCGCTCGCTTTCCCCTCGTTCGCTTCCTTCGCTTATTCACCTGTTCACTCGCTCTCTCGCTCGTTAATATTCGCTCAGGTGTTGTTAGCTTTCTAACCTGAGTTATTCGACAATAAACTGTAGTTGCTGCTATCCTTTGTCTTCTGATTTTACGCACCGTCAAGATTAGAATTATAACGGTTATCGAAGTAAACGATTAATGAATCGCGGCACTACAAATTCATGGACTGACACCATGTTTTGCTTTAGCGGCCCCTAGCTTTCTTAAAGCCCATTCCTACATCATTAAACATAGCCTGTCGAGGTAGGCGGTGGTTGGACATGCGTAACATATGTTCCAACCACCTTGATTGATTATTTATTACCTCATCAATCGACTTCCTATTTTTTCCTAGTACTCTATTCTTAACCCAGGCATTGCCTACTCCGTGGTCCCAAGATACATGAATGATGCTTCAGAGGCACCAGTCATTCTATTTGTAGCTAACAATGTTGTGATGTCGTGTATCCAAGAGTTGATACTGACACCTAGTCTGCTTATACTCGAGCCCAACCAGCTACTCGAGCAAAAAAACCGAAAGTGAGAAAGTTTATTTACACAACCGAACCAATTGTATGTGTACGGATTTATATATATATATATTCATCGGGAAACCAATTCCTCAGAAATGAAAGCCATTTGTTTGATTTTTGATTGACCCAGTGTATCAGACAGGATATCCCTTAAATATTCTTCTAATTACATAATTTTTAGTGCACATAATGTATACTGACGTTAGCTTCAATATGGAGCACTGAAAACTTGTTTCATCTTAACATGAAACTCTCCATTATAAGTGATCACCTATGACCTCGTCAGGAAACGAGTCCATGACCTTCTGGCCTCGTAGCCACCACGTTACATTTAGATCCAATAGTTTGAATGTTCAAGTCCATGCATTTGTGTTTCCCACCTACATAAACAACAATAATTCTGCATACACAGATACTATATACGTTGAACCACCGATCGTACATGCAAATTTACCATTAAACAAAACATTAAAGAAGCCAGTCAAACATTTCGTATCCTCTGTATAGTAATGACGATAATAATAATAGTAATAATGGTTAATAATATTGTAGGTCGTTCAAACCCAGAAACTCACATATTTAAGCACATATGATGTGAAATCACAGCACACCATAAATACTAAATCTCAATAAATACTTGGAAAATTTGTAGTACAAAGCTGAGTAACAGGTTCATAGTTAATTAACTGTAATTTATGAATAGGGAAATATGTCGCAGCGGTTAATGAGCCTAATAAAAACTTTGGACAATATAAAAGTATGCATGGGAAATATATAAACTGACTCTCCCTAAAATAAATACAGGAAAGTGACATGCAAGTGAATTCGTATGCAGAGTAGAGTCATTGTAGAGAGATTTATATTAATCATAAATGATTTAAGATATAATAATAAGTGTTTCTTCACCCAGAAGTAATGGTTAGCAACTAGCTTATTATCGCCGAAGCCTGGGTCGACAAATTGTTATTTCAACACCTAACATGCATCAAAACAACTTTTTACTGAGTAAGGACGACAAGTCGGTTGATGATGTAGTAAGTCTTCACTAATTAAGTTAGTTGAAACATATAGAACGTGCGCACCAGTCACTGCCTACCTGGATGCACACGATATTTGATGTTGTTTAGGAGTAAGTTGAAAGTTGGGGGCGGCCAGATCAATACATAGCGTCATTAATTGTTAGTCTGAGTCACGTTAGTAGGCACAGCCTACTTGTCTAGGATCCACTTGGTAACTTTGATCAGTGGTTGGAAATGTTGAGTGATATGGTTCAAAATCGCTATATCGTAGATGCATTCAATCTTTTTATACTCCTAGATCCTGAGTTCCAAATTTATTTTACACTGTTTATTCCGCAAATTCTTTTTTGCTCTCAAATCTTATTCTCTATTTCTTATTTTCTCTACTGTCATCGATATTACTACAATCACTTCATTGTTATTCATCTTGGTAATTTGATCTCATTTTACAGATATGGTATGGTAACTTGAGCCGATATTATATATGATGTATTCTCATACTAATAATAACTGGTTAAAAGTAAAGTTAACTCATGGTTTAAACTGGTTTTTTTGTCAAATTATTTATTTATTTAAACACATAAATATTGGCACAAGGAAGCACCAGATACATATGTGCCGCACAAATCTCATTTGATTTGTTTGAGGGCTGTGATACTGCTCAGGTGCCCAAACTGAAGCAGGTGGTTTTCTTAGGCAGCCACCCGGAGCCTTTGACCTAAAGATCTGATCCACAAGGCAGTAGAGCATCGTGAGGAGATGCATTCTCATAGTAGCCGGTGACCAACGATTGGTTCATATACCACTTGTTCCCTCAGGATACTGGAACCAGCCCATGTGCACCATTGGTTTGGAATCAAGGTTTTCCAACTCCCCTAGGTGAACTTGCAGTGTCCACCAACCCGGTTAAATCTCCGGACATTCGCTTTTCGTCCTCTCAATTTTGTAAACAACAGTAATGCTTCGAGAAGGCAGTGAGTAGGACTTCCCTGTCAGAGGCTATATATTCGCGTGGCATGTGAGAGCATTTGGAGAGGGAGAGCGGACTCTCCCCACTCTTGGCCGTACCAGGGCATTTGGGGGCTTTTTTCAAATTACCCAGTCTATACAACTTTCCAATTCTGACGATTGTTTTGTTTGCCATTATCACCTTTGTTTTTTCTTTCTAATCCAGTGTAAATGTTTCTCTCATTTTATTTTATTTTCTAAATTCATTAATAGGAATTATTGAAAGTTTATTAGAAATTCGTCCAGATATGAATGTAACAATGGCAAATCAAGGTTTATTTGCATGGCTTTTAAGACGTTTACAAAAACGTCCAGTATTTGACAAAAATAAATTATATGTTAGTGAATTATTATCAATTTTATTACAAATGGATGAAGCTAATCGTCGTCAATTAGGTGAAGTTGATGGTATTGATATCTTATTACAACAATTATCTGTTTATAAACGACATGATCCTGGAAGTCAAGAAGAAATTGAATTAATGCTTAATTTATTCGATTGTCTTTGTAGTTCACTTATGTTACCTGAGAATAAAGATAGATTTTTAAAAGGTGAAGGTATACAACTAATGAATTTAATGCTTCGGTAAGTTAGATAGTTAGTGACAGTTGTAGTTGTGGTGGTTATTTTTTTATTCAGTTAATACTTTCATTATATTTTATGCCTCAATTAGTCAACAATTGAAAACTAGATTGCGTTGGATAGATGTTATATCCTAAACTCTTCATCAGTGATGTATTTCTTGGTACAATGGACCAGTCAGAAATTGGCGCTTCAGTTCTTGTTATAAAAACAGTCGGGTTTACAATAGGTCTGTGAGAAAGGTTCTGGTTTATGTTTGTGAAATCTACCCACTCTTAGCTTCGGGCGTTCGTTATCGTTATCTTCAAAGGATTGGTGATATACAGTGTCAGAATCGGCCTCACTTCATTTGTATGCTGCGTACTTTCTTTTGGTTCTATGTTGTCATGCCAGAATTTGTGTCCATCAGTACTATGGTCATCAAGTTTTAATCACATTACCTAAAAACTCTAACACATTAATCTTGATCAAACCTAGTGTACATCCACCAACACCGATCGAATTAAGGTTCCTCCGAGTCTGGTGGAGTAAAGGCATGTTGGAAATAGGACGGTTGTCACCTATTTCGTTGGATGATCGCTGAGTTACATCGCAACTTGATTAGAGTTGAAGTTGTACTATGGGATGTCGGCTTAGTGGCTCTAAGAAATAGCTACGTGATCCAAATATCCTTTGCTCTATCCGTAGTGGGGTTGTGGATAGGGGCTTGTGAGGAGTCTCATACTAGGATGAAGCAACTGTGCGATACTCTTTGATTTCTAATGGTAACCCGACTAGAATTAATATTTGACAAATAAAACCCATAAATCTGTTCTTTTTTCTCGTCGTGAAATTATCATCATTTATTGTGTATATTCTAGTGAAAAACATATGTCTCGTGACAGTGCTCTGCGTGTTCTTGATTATACTTTATGTCCTGTTTCACAATTAATGGATCAAAATACCAATGAATTGCCATCACATCAAAAGTCAACTATCAATACAGTGGATCCTGAAGCTGTAGTTATAGCTAATTGTTCGAAGTTCATTGAAATTTTAGGTTTACGAACTATTTTCCCATTATTTATGCATTGTCCACGTGAACATGCACTTCGATCAACTTCATCTGGTTCAAAAACCAAGGTGAAAGTTATTAGTGGTCCCACTTCAGCTGAAATGGAAGAACATGTGATTAAGTAAGTGTAAACTATTCAGTTTGCTGTACCTCAGTTCGCTCCTTTCTACTTAATGGGTATGAACCAAGGTCATTAATAATTAATTTATTTATTTGAACACATTGGTACAAAGAGGCATCAAATACATATGCGCCACACTGAGAATAGATTAGAGTAGATAAATGACATAGTATATAAGAAAACAAACAAAAAGGAATGTTAATTGTCTGAATTTTAATTGAAACAAGAATAGTATTTCCAATATTCATTGTCATTTCACTTGATTTATGTGTGGGTTGTAATACTACCCGGGTGCACAAACCTAAGCAGATAGTTTTCTTAGTGGTTCACTTCCCAAACCTTTTACCTAGAGGTCTAATCCATAAGACAGTGGAGCAACATTAAGAGATACAGTTCCATGGTAACCGGTAACCAACAGTAAGTTGATATACTATTTGTTGCCTGAGAATCCTGGATCTCATATGCATCATTGGTTTGGGATTATGGTTTTCCAATTACCTTAAGTAGATCCTCCATATCGACTAACCTGGTTAAAGCGTTGGGCATTCGCTTTTTGTCCCCTTAACTTCGTAGACAACAACCCCGCCGTGAGAGTGCACTGAGTAGGACTTCCCTTTCTGTGACTGTATACGCGTGGCCATGCGAAAACATTTCGAGAGGGAGAGCAAACTCCTCACCCTCGACCTTACCAGGGCTACTAGTATTCGACCATAGGTAGCTTCGAGGGATCAGCCATGTATTTTGGGACCAGAAAATAAGCAATGCCGAGGTAAGACCCATATTAGTAGGTGAGAGTGTTAAATCGATTGATCAGGTTTTGAATCCTGATCAGCTGAGGTGGGTGAAACATGTGTTATTTATCCTTAACCACCGCCTACCTCGATGGGCTACGTTGAGTGGTGTACGAGTAGGTTGGAAGAAAGCTAAAATGATCATATCAATATATGAAGACACTGATTATTGGACTGAGTCATGTAGGTAGTGCAAACTACCTGATTGGAGTCCATGTGATAATCATAACAATCAGTTAGAAACTTTAGGTGATATGCGTTAGAGTTGTTTACAATGAAGCGAATGCATTCACTCGTTTCCCTTTAGAACTTTAGTCCCGAAATTTTCTTATACCATGTCTTCCTTTTCTATACCTAATCTTTTCTGCTACCACTGTGGTTGTTTTTTCACCTATACTACTCCGGGATTTGTCTTGAAGTAATTTTTCTGTCACTGTACTAATGTGTGTGGCCACTGGGGCGGATGCACGTATGTGTCAGGCTTTATGTTTCATATAACTGGTTGATTAGCTGTAAATATTGATTACAGATGACATTACTGTCATTACTTAATGGAATTCTTGAAACTTGACATGATAATGGATTACATCGGTTGATTACTGCGTAAAAACCAGTGTCTTGTTTATCTTTCACCCAATACTGTTCGAAAGCTGTTGACGAATTTTAAATGTTAGTTGGTACCGGACTTTCTCGGTGCTAATGTTTCAGGCTGTAACGTTGACTAAGGAGTATTTGAGTGTGATTTGGTTGTGTGGTGAGATTAGTTCTCTCAAGATTAAAATTACACCTTACTATCAAGTGTCAACTAGGATGAAAACTAAGTTCAGGATTTCTTGTCGATTACCTCTTAAAAATTAACAAAATAGTGAGGGTATGTTCTACTTAATAGTTTCACTTTTTCCAACGTTAATTCACATAATTATTGTGTTAACCCCTTAGCCTATGTTTCATTGTTTTTTCTGCTCGTTCATCGTGTTCTGAATTTGTTGAATTGTTTCTCACCGCACTTAATCAGTGCCGACCAGACGCCTCGGTCGTGGACTAACGAATGTTTCCAGTTGATGTGTTACCAATTTTTAATGATAGTTGAAAAACTCTGGTTTTAAACCAAAAGGTCACATGAGCTTTAGGATCTCGAGGGAAAGATGTGACTACGAATCTGTTTTGGTCATCGGCTACCATGCCACTGTGTTTATTGGCTTCACCCACACTACTTTGTGGATTGAACGTTTAAGTCAAAGGTTCTGAGTGTAGTCCTCTGAGAAAACCATCTAGCCAAATGAACGGGCATAATCTTAAACCAAATATGTGAATGAATAATGTCTCAAACTTCTTAAGTAATCATTTCTCATGAATTTCGAGTTTGACCACTACTTTTTACAAATATGAAGATTTCGTTTGATCATTCTACTCATCTTTTTGTTTCTTTTCTTTGTTTATACAGTATTATTTCCGCTTTACTTCGTCATTCACCTCCAGAAACTTTTAAACCTCGTGTTTTGGCTAAATTTGTTGAGAATGATCATGAAAAAGTGGATCGACTCATTGAATTACATTTGAAATACTTAGATATTGTTAAAGCAACCAATAGTAAAGTCGAAATAATGCGAAGGGTAATAATCTTTTTCAGTTTTTTTCAACTTAGTGCGTTTTGTATTTATAGTTGATATCATTGATTGACTTCAGCAAAACAACCATTAATAATCATTGGATATGGAACAAGTATTTCGTCTCGGAATGGGGTTCCTCATCAATGTTCTGTTATGTTCTGTAGTCTGTTTCAGTCATAATACACACATACTAATGCTTGCCGTGTTAAGTATACAGAGTAAGAAGGTCGAACGTGCACATTAGTCCACGCGTAGATATATTCTATGTTCAACTGATATCTAGACAGATACATGTGAATGGTGATCTAGGATAGATGAGTAATCAATTCACATTAGGTTGCTCACGTTTGTGTTTCCTACTTATCACTTGATCTTAAGACAACATGTGACCTGTTTAACATTGGAACAACTAGTGACCTGTTTGGGAGTGTCTTGGATATCAAGTGCACAGTTCCGATCACGTTGAACTTGAAGCTATCAAACAAGGGTGTTACCTTAAGTTCACTGATTTCGAATCCGATAGACCACATTTTTATCTTAAGTCGTTTCAGGATTTCGCACGACTTTTTACTGGGACTCTGAGAGTTCTTTTCTCATGTGGTTATCGTATCTGCAAGAAAGGAACTTTGGTTATGGGTTACTAATGGGGAGATGTTTTGTGACTTATTTGTTCGAATCAAAGTATGTAAGGGAACAGGGCTCTAGTCAACAACATTTCGGTTGAAAAATCAACGCATCCACCACTAACTGACTGTTCTTTTTTAAAATATTCAATCTTAACTTACCATTTGTCCAATTAAATTATGACTTTCAAATACCACTGTTAAAGTTTGAAACATGTTTGTAATCTTTCCTAAAAAACACACACCTAGAACGAGAAAAAGTGGATCGGTTATACTCGGGAAGAAGTGGAAACAGAATTAATGCTCAAACGTTTAGAAGGTGGACTATTACCACTACAAGTTTTGGACGTTATAATTCTTGATGTTTGTGTAAACGGTGCACCAACGGTAAGTTCTTATTTTCCTTCCTATATATTTATTCAACTACTTAAATAGTTCTAGTAGCATATATTGTATGCTTAAAATAATGTTAGAAGTTGCTAAAATAAAACTGGTTCCATGTGATTTCTCATTTTCAATAGTTGTTTTTAGTCAATTGATCAATCACAATGTGAATTATTTATGAATTAAATAATTTCTATGATCATTCCCTTCATCTTAATAATAAGAACCAGATATTAACTAGTTTGACTTCAACTCAATGATCTGGAAATCATGTACGTAGTTAATTGCGGCGATGAGGTCTTGTATTTCACCTCACTGGTTTTTTTTGATGATTTAACTTTGAAAAAAACTCATATTGAAAAGGAATAAACTTCCGGTAACTTTCGATTTTCAGTTATTCTTTAACTTATTTATCTATTTATTTAAACACATAAATATTGGTACAAGGAAGCATCAAATATATATATGCTCCGCATAATTCTCATTTCATTTGTATAAGGGCTGTGATACTGCCCAGGTGCCCAAACTGAAGCAGGTGGTTTTCTTAGAAGTGCACACTCGAATCCTTTGACCTAAAGGTTTAATCCACAAGGCAGTGGAGCATCGTGAGGAGATGCAGTCCCATGGTAGCCGTTGACCAACGATTGATTCATGCGCCATTTGTTCCCTCAGGTCTGGAATCAGGGTTTTCCAACTCCCCTAGGTGAATCCTCCACATCCACCAACCCGGTTAAAGCGCCGGACATTGTCTTTTCCTCTTCTCAATTTCGTAAACAACACCGCAGTGGCGAGAAGGCAGTGAGTAGGACTTCTCTGTCAATGGCTATATACGCGTGGCCATGTGAGAGCATTTCGAGAGAGATGGTGGACTATCCTTACTCTCGGCCGTACCAGGGCATTTGTTCAACTAAATACAGTTTTGGGATGTCAAATATTTTTCATTCAATATTTAATCAGTTATTGTCTGAGTCTGTTTATCTCGTACTAGCTAATCTTATATTCAAGAATGTTCTGGTGTATCTAATGAGTAGCCGGAATGTGTCCATCAATCTTATAAATAGAATAGGTTTTTCCTAACAAACACTATATGAAAAATTCTTTATAGTTTCTAAAACTTTTCTGAACGATTTCAATATTGTCGAAGTCAATCTTATGATCTGATATTATAACGTGTAGACCTGTCGCCAAAGATTTTTCAGTTTTTTTCAAGTTCTGTCGAATTTTTCATTACTTGAACGATAGTTCTACTATGTTTATTTATTTTGACTTTGATTTCTTGCGAACTTTGTCCATTAGATATTGCATCACGATCTGAACGTTGTATTCGTTAGGCATAATTATATTGTAAATCCTTCGATAGTTTGTCTAATGTATAAACAAGACTTCTTTATAAATGTGTCTGATGTTCTGGAGAATGCCCTGATTTCCATTTGTTAAATACTCTTCTGTTACCAAACCACTTAATCTGGATTTGCTTTGGATACCTATTCTTGATCTGTTTCCAGTTGTAGATACACTAAAAAGTACAGATTATAAGTTCTATATTATTATAAGTATAGAGGATTTGTCGAGATTGTGGAAATTTTTTCGGTTCAAACCAGAAATTGATCTTAGCTGGACCAACATAGAAAGCCTGAAATCACTGGACGGCCGTTTCGTCCTCAGCAGTAACCATCCTTGAAGCGGACCGAGGACTTTCTCGTCTCGTATTCAATTCCGTGTTGCTCAGCTTCACAGTCTAAGACGTTACTACCGATATATTCAGGCTGTGACTGACTTCCTGTAGTATTGCGATCTATTATTTACTGATTTATTGATTTAATCACATATATATTGGTACAAAGGGCACCGGATACATATGCGCCACACGAAATAATGAGAATGGGAGGAGAAGGAAGAAGATGCGTATATATAAAGGAAGGAAAAATAGAAAAGGAGAAGAGTAATGATGGGGGAAACTGAAATGTACAACCAGAAGAGCTCTCTCAGTTAGGAAAATTATAGCCGCTCTTTATGAAGAAAGTAGAAGGCTACAGCAGGATCGTCACTGGCTTCTATTCTGAGCCATATCTGATAACGTCTCTAGCCACTGTGTTGCAACTATGTTGCGATGTATTTACAACTGTTGTATCATCTATGTTAAGTCCTTCTTTTTATTTTATTTGAACACATAAATATTGGTACAAAGGGGCACCGAATACATATGCGCTGCACAAATCTCATTCGATTTGTGAGAGGGCTGTGATACTGCTCAGGTGCCCAAACTGAAGCAGGTGGTTTTCTTAGGAGGCCACACTCGAAGCCTTTAACCTAAAGGTCTGATCCACAAGGCATTGGAGCATCGTGAGGAGATGCAGTCCCATGGTTGCCGGTGACCAACGATTGGTTCATATGCCATTTGTTCGTTCAGGATACTGTAGCCCATGTGGATTATTGGTTTGGAATCTGGGTTTTCCAACTCCCCGAAGTGGACTTTCCGTGTCCACCAACCCGATTAAAGAGCCGGACATTCGCTTTTCGTCCTCTCAATTTTGTAAACAAAAGTAATGCCACGAGAAGGCAGTGAGTAGGACTTCCCTGGGAGAGGCTATATGTGCGTGGCCTTAATACTGATCGAATTCTATCGGGTAAGTTGCATTGTGGCCACCAGTCTAGTTCAAGTTAGTTGATCGAAAACCCTAGATTTAGGTTCAAAGTGATGAATCAATCGTAAAATGCTTTTGTATACTTGAGAAGTTAGCTTCATTAACTAAAATCTTTTTTATCATAAGAGAGAGAGAGAGAGAATGATTATATTGTATAAGAAGTGCATTTGATAAAAGTATATTATCCTGGTAACCTTGACCGATCTACTTTATGGTAGTGAAACATGGCCGGTAAGAGTAGAAGATATTCGTAGGCTACTAGTATTCGATCATAGGTGTCTTGGAAGCATTGCTCGTATATCCTGTGACCACCGGGTAAGTAATGCAGTTGTTAGGAAACGGGTACTAGGTAAGGATGACAAATCGATTGATGAAGTAGTGAAACTTGATCAGTTGAGATGGCTGGGTCATGTGTTACGTATGCCCAACTACCGACTGCCCCAACGTGCAATGTTTGATGATGTAGAAGTAGGTTGGAAGAAAGCTATGGGCGGTCAGATCAGAACGTGGCACAAATCCATGAAGTCTCTGACAATTGGACTGAGCCATGTTGGTAGGTGTAGACTACCTGGTTGGGATTCGCGAGATGATAGCAGTCGATGGTTAGAGACCTTGAATGACATGGCTCAAAATCGTTTGCAATGGCGAAGTTGCATCCACTCTTTGTGTTCTACCAACTTCTAATCTTCTGAATTCCTCATGTCTCTATCTTTTTCTCTTTCCAAATTTATTTCACTGTACTATACTCCTTCAGTAATTTCTTCAAACCCTAATCTTTCCGATTACTGCTTATACTCTAACTACTTCTACCACTATGGTATTTGAATCGACAACTGCATCTCTGTGCTAATATGGTATGGCAACTCGAACTGATGTATGTACGTACGAAGTTCTACGTTGTGACTGACTGACTGACCGACTTATCAGTCAATCTTTATATTTAAACACATAAACATTGGTATAGAGAGGCACTAAATATATTGTGCGCCACACTTCATCATTCGATTGGCGTGAGGGTTAAAATACTGTTCGGATGTCCAAACTGAAGCAGGTGGTTTTCTTAAGGGGCCACTTTCCAATCCCTTTACCTATAGGTCTAGTCCAAAAGCTAGTAGAGCAGTTCCATGGTAGCCGATAACCGACGGTTGGTTTATACGCCATTTGTTCCCTCAGGATATTGGAGCCTATGTGTACCATTGTTTTAAAATTGTGGTTTTCCAACTACCCTAGGTGGATCCTCCATATCGACTAACGTGGTTAAAGCGTTGGACATTTGGTTTTCATCCTCTCAATTTCGTAAACAACACCCGTGCCACATGAAGGCATTTTTCGTCATCAACTGACATCAGATGTCATGCAGTGATGCGTTGCCACATTTTTTATTTACAAACTAAAAAAGATTGTAGTTTTAGAGTTATGAGTTAAAGTAGGTATAACTATCTAACTACACCAACACTCTTAACCATGCTTCAAATCATATCATTTACTTTAACACTCTCCGCATTAAGACCACGTGTTTCTTGTAATTTACCATCATTTCTTATTCAGTGGTTGGTTGCGTAATAGAGGTCTAGAGGTTAAGCGCTCGCGCGCGAGACTGATAGGTCCTGGTTTGGAATCTCGCGAGTTGCGATCGTGGATGCGCACTGCTGAGGAGTACCAAAATGGGACGAAACGGCCGTCCAGTGCTTCTAGATTTTCCATGGTGGTCTAGCTTCAATTGACTCATGATCTCAACTATTGATATTGTATTTTCGTTTAAAATCAGTTTTACCTGTTTCAGAAATCAAATATTGTCAATTTTTACCTAGTCGCACGAAAGTCCATGAGTTGTTACTTAGATTCTCAGTTGATCCATTTAAGGACGTCAGTACAATGATATACTTTTACCGTTCATTTAATTAATAGCTTCTTTTTTTTTTGGGGGGGGGGCGGGGAAACTTATATTATTTCTCACACTGATGTTTATAATTGTTGTGTTTACTTTCATGTTTTCAAAAATACAAAAAAAACAGATTTTGGAACGTGTACTTCATCTATTGAAAATGCGATCCATTTCAGTGAATTCCGTACTTGATACAGTTCAAGGTTTGTTTATTTTGGGCTTCATTATTGTTGTTAAAATTTCTAAAATAAGACATTTCATACTATCACATACTATCAGCGTCTTCAAATATACATGGACTGGATATTTTATGATGTGTAATGAAAAGATGTTCGAGGATGAAGGGCTATAATCGACTAGCATTATGTAAGTATACTGTATGACCACGTGATAGCTGCTCAGGTGATTGAATTATTGAGATAAAACATCGCTGCCCTGCTCCTGGAAGATAAAGTAACTACCCAATAGAATAGGCTTACTCTTTTAAAAAAGTAACACGCTAATATACAAGGTATTGAACACAAGTATAAAAATAACTAAAAGTCATTGAACAAACGAACGATTAAATGGTATAACTGTTGTAGGACATTCATTTCTCAATGGAAGTTAAGAAAGTACAACCAGAAAGTTTTTTTTCAATAGAAGAAGTCCCTCTTCCTCATTTGAAGTAAGTAAGAGGAAATTACAACACGATCGCCAGTGGGTTCTATCTTGAGCCATGTCTGATAATGTTTTAAGTCACTGTATTGCACTGTCTCTAAGACGCCGATCAAGAAGTCGTGAGGATTGACAGATGTCAGTCCTGTACAGCCTTCTTTCATACCACGACACTATATCATAAACTGGCCACTCCTTCGCTCTTTGCAGTTCTAGCGTCGGCAAATAATTCACAATGTGGAATTGGCTGGAATAACTTAGGTAGCATATGTCCAAGCCACTGAAGCCGGTGTTTTAAGGTGATAACGATAACTGGATTATCGTCACTGTGTGGTGCATGCTAATTATCCACAGATATAAGTAGCATGTAAAACCAATCGGAAGTGAAATGCTTGCCAGCAGAAAATTGAATCGAAGAGAACAGGAGAGGAAACAGAGGACAGTTAGAATAACAGTAGAATTGAAAGAATCATGAAGTATGTAAAAGACAATGGAAGGAAGATGTGCAAATAATATCATTTAATATATAGTTTTTATATTTGATGAAAGCAATCTGTAATTTACTATTAAACAATACATTGGTTTTCCTCACCTGAGTCTTGAATTGAATTTGGAAAAATTTTGGTTAACTTTTACATTACTAACATGGTGTCACTATTCATATACAACGATGATTGAATACAATGACTTGCCTAACATCCTCAACTCGGAAAGACTGGTTTTCACAAATATAGAGCAAACCTCCTCTCATCGACGCGTTATAAATCTGACCAGACTAACATTATGACGTTTTAAAAGATAGTCCAGATTGACATAGATCACTCTGGCTTTCACCATACGTAAATTGATGTTGGGTCGATAGTAACACTACCGCTACCCAATTACAGGTTGGAAATCTCTCTGTGGGTTTATTTCAGTTCGACCAAGCGCATAATATGACCAATCCTCAGTAAAAATACAGACCTAGTTGAGATGAAAGAACTGGACAGGGTTGGATGGAAAGTGCTGGTGGACGGCCTCTGCTCCTCCATGAGGGATAACAGGTGTAAGTTAGTTGAAATGAGTCGACCAGTGTAATTCTTTCTACTAAGTATTCCGTAGTGTAGTAAGCGTACGGCATTATATAAACCTATAAATGTTATTATTATTATTAAGATATAACTAATTAGTATTCCGTTTCATTTTTCGTTAATTTCAGAATATGTGAATAATTTAGGCGAAGAATCAACGACGGGTACAACATTATCTGAGAAAACGCGGGTTACAGATCTCTTGAAGAAATTTAAGGAACTGTTAACAAGTTGACATTGACTTAAAATTTTGTATTTCACAATTTAATTTAATTAAAAATATACATATGATATCATAATTATATAATTAAATTTTACATTGATTGATGATTGATTATTGGTATTAGTAGTAATAACTGTTGTTATGATTATCTAATCAATTATACAGGCATGTTCGGGATGCTATTCTCCCCCTCGAAGTGCAAAATGTTAATTCAGGATTGGGTTGCATCGGCACCTGAAATAATGATAGGGAGTGGAATAGTTGAGCGTGTTGACCGCTTCACTTATCTTGGGAGTCTCATCAGCCCTTGTGGTCTGGTGTGTGACGAAATCTCAGCATGAATACAGAAGGTTCGTCTAGCTGTCACCAACTTGCGTCATTTATGGCGTAGGAGAGATATCCATCTAGCAACCAAAGGACGGGTTTACTACACAGCAGTTCGTTCCATCCTAAATTATGGTAGTGAAACATGGCCGGTAAGAGTAGAAGATATTCGTAGGCTACTAGTATTCGATCATAGGTGTCTTGGAAGCATTGCTCGTATATCCTGTGACCACCGGGTAAGTAATGCAGTTGTTAGGAAACGGGTACTAGGTAAGGATGACAAATCGATTGATGAAGTAGTGAAACTTGATCAGTTGAGATGGCTGGGTCATGTGTTACGTATGCCCAACTACCGACTGCCCCAACGTGCAATGTTTGATGATGTAGAAGTAGGTTGGAAGAAAGCTATGGGCGGTCAGATCAAAACGTGGCACAAATCCATGAAGTCTCTGACAATTGGACTGAGCCATGTTGGTAGGTGTAGACTACCTGGTTGGGATTCGCGAGATGATAGCAGTCGATGGTTAGAGACCTTGAATGACATGGCTCAAAATCGTTTGCAATGGCGAAGTTGCATCCACTCTTTGTGTTCTACCAACTTCTAATCTTCTGAATTCCTCATGTCTTTATCTTTTTCTCTTTCCAAATTTATTTCACTGTACTATACTCCTTCAGTAATTTCTTCAAACCCTAATCTTTCCGATTACTGCTTATACTCTAACTACTTCTACCACTATGGTATTTGAATCGACAACTGCATCTCTGTGCTAATATGGTATGGCAACTCGAACTGATGTATGTACGTACGAAGTTCTACGTTGTGACTGACTGAATGAATCATGTTAATGGTGATCGAATTTTATCGATCAAATTACAATAGAACCAACTACTCGTCTGTGTGATTCAGCTTCCTGAGAACTATTAGTTTGATGTTAAGTAGTTGAGGTAGTTGTCAAAAAACATTGTTAAATTCAGATTTTGTTCTTGTCTGTAATTTTCAACAATGTACACGTGCAATATTCAAGGATTTGATGGAATTCGAATCAGCATCATCCTGTATTGTGGTCTAAGATATTACCACTGATCTATTCGGCTGGTGACTGACCGCTTGTTAAACCGAAATGTTTACATATATTGATGACTGATTAGTAACCGATATCATGCTTATCTAATTACTTTAGTACTAATCAGATTCTATTGATCAAGCTGAAATATGTGATCACTAGTCTAAATGTCTTACTTCTTGTGCATTAAATGTTAAAATTTGATGATTTGAAGTAATTGTAAAGTTTTCTTTTAAAACAAAAATTTCATTCTCACATATCAGTCTTTTCAAACATGGACGATATAATGTATAAAACATGCTAGGATACTTTTTTCAAACAGTCCGTTATTCTTCCTTGATTATTACTGATGATTTATTATTTAAACCACTCAGTTTTTTATCCTTGAGCTACTCCCCCCTCCGGTTGCGAATCAGAGTCGAGTAAAAATGTGTGTGTGTGTGTGTTTGGTAAATAAGACACTTGGGAAGTTGTACATAAATTTTGATGTTGGAAAAGTTTTATGTAGCTTACAAAAGTTAACGGGATGAGGAATCATTAACAAAACTAGTGACAAACACTTTTCATTGGTGTTGAAAATTCTGATTTTGGTGTTGGCTGACAATTGTTTTGAGTTCCAGATGTTCTTCAGTTGTGAATATGTTGCCCTTGCTTTGCCGATCCGCATCTTTACGTCTGCATCAAATCCACTGTGTTTATCAGTGAAGCTGCCAAGATATGTGAAGGTTTCCACATCCTCCAAAGCTTCTCCGTCAAGTGTGATTCGATTGGTGGATGCCGTATTGTATCGCAGGGTCTTGCTTTTCTCTTTGTTTATATTGAGACCTACTGCTGCTGAGACTACTACACTGGTCGTCTTCTCCTGCATTTGTTGTTGCGTGTGTGATAGAAGAGTCAGATCATCTGCGAAGTCTAAATCGTCCAACTGCATCCTACCTGTCCACTGTATTCCATGCTTCCCTCCACATGTTGACGTCTTCATAACCCAGTCGATCACCAAGAGAAAGAGAAAGCGCGAGAGTAAGCAAAGTTGCCTGACACCGGTCTTTACTTCGAACGAGTCTGTCAACCGTCCTCTATGTACAATTTCGCAGTTTAATCCGTCATAGTAATTCCGTTTGATATTGACTATCTTCTCAAGTACGCCATGGTGTCGAAGAAGCCTCTATAGTGTTGTCCTGTCCACGTTATCAAATGCTTTCTCGTAATCAATGAAGTTGATGTAGAGTGATGAATTCCATTCAACTGATTGTTCCACAATGATCCGTAGAGTTGCGATTTAGTCAGCACACAATCGATCCTTACGGAATCCAAATAATTATAGATAATTCCAGCCTACGAATTATTGGTAATTGGATAATGCTTATTAAGTAAGTAAACAATGCTTGACTTTCAATAGATAAGTCTCAGGTTCGAGCTCATCCATCATATCTAATTTAGTCTCATTCACACTATCAGATTATTATCACAAATATACAGAAAAACGTCACTTCAACATCGGTTGTGTAAATGTATACTTGGTAAATAAATTAGAAACACTTGAATTCCATAGTCCCCAAATGCCCTGGTACAGACGAGAGTGGGGAGTCCACTCTCCCTCTCGAAATTCTCCCACATGACCACGCGTATATAGCCTCTGCCACGGAAATCCTACTCACTGCCTTCTCGTGGCATTACTTTTGTTTACCAAATTAAAAAGACGAAAAACGAATGTCCGGCGCTTTAACCGGATTGGTGGACACGGAAAGTTCACCTACGGGAGTTGGAAAACTCTCATTCCAAACCAATGGTGCACATGGGCTGGCTCCAATATCCTGAGGGAACAAATGACGTATGAATCAATTGTTTATCACCGACTACCATAGGACTGAATCTTCTCACGATGCTCCATTGTCTTGTGGATCAAACCCTATATGTCAAAGGCTCCGGGTGTGGCGCATATATATCTGGTGCATCTTTATACCAATATTTATATGTTTAAGTATATAAATCAATAAAATTAATTCCATAGTAGAATTAGAAATATTCTAAAACAGATGTGCTTTATTCATCATCACCTCCCCCCCCCCCGAAAAAAAACAACAACAACAAAAGAAGTATAGTTTTTATATAATAAAAATAACATAATCTGTATCTATGTTCATTTTATTGATCTTTTCTTAGGTATTATACATTGATTGATGTATCTTATATTGTAAATGATTGTTCTTATATACAAATATGTACTTGTTATGTTGTATGTTACTATGAGAGAAGTTATACTCAATCAAGTTATTCATTCTTGTAATGTAGTTTTTTGTGTGGTGTTGTTGTTTTAATAATGGTTCTATTCTATGTGTATATTATTAGATCATTGAATTATAATGATTAAAATAACTGTCTTATATAATTTTATTAGTTGAGATCATGAATCAATTGAAGTTAAACCACTATAGAAAATCTGGAAGGAGTTTCGTTCTATTGTGGAATTCTTCAGCAGTGTGCATCCACAATCCCGCCTCACAAGATTCGAACCCAGGATCTATCAGTTTCGTGCACGAGCGCTTAATCTCTAGACCACTGAGCTGGCTGGCATCCAACGGTCTTAATGTCTAAGTTCAATATTTAAAATAATAACAATTGAGTAGATTACATTATTCACCTTCAACATACATAATTATGTTATGAGTTTCCTTCGATTTTAACAAAATTTTCCGTCAAAAAATGTACATCATTTCTGTTATATCGATTGCGTGAGTGCCTTGTTAATATGTGACATATTAAGACCGCCAATCAGACAGCAGCGAATTATCGATCAAAGCAATGATACACAAAACCCGTACTAGCAGTGTAGAGCACTTGTTGGTCCTGCTTTCTGCCTAACCCAGCTAGTTAAGTCCAGAACACCAATAACAGCTTCTGCAATATGAATCATTATTCTCAAACATACTGGGTTTATATACCAAACAAACTGACCACATCGTACCATAAAATAGAAAATTGCCCCTAAATGCCCTGTTACGGCCTAGAGTGGGGAGAGCCTGCTCTCGCTCTCGAAATGCTCTCATATGGCCATGCAAATATATAGCCTCTGACAGGGAAGTCCTACTCACTGCCTTCTCGTGGCTGGGGTGTTGTTCACAGAAGTGAGAGGACGAAAAGCGAATGTCCGGCGCTTTAACCGGGTTAGTGGATGTGGAGGATCCACCTAGGGGAGTTGGAAAACCCAGATTCAAAACCAATGATGCACATGAACTCCAGTATCCTAAGAGAACAAATGGCGTATGAACCAACTGTTGTTCACCGGCTACCATGGGATTGCATCTCCTTACGATGCTCCACTGCCTTGTGGACTAAATCTTTAGGTCGATGGCTCCAGGTGTGGCCCTCTATGAAAACCACCTGCTTCAGTCTTGGCACGTGGGCAATATCACAGCCCTCACGCAAATACAATGAGATTTGTGAGGCACATATTTATCTGGTGCTTCCTTGTACCAATATTTATGTGTTTAAATAAATAAATAAATAAAATAGAAAATAACATTAGGACAAGATTTAGCCAAATGTGGCTGTGAGTAGGGGGGGGGGACAGTAATTAATGAACTAGGGATAACTCAAGAATGGCAAATTATAGATCAAAATGAGGCTTATAATAAGACGGACACGAATATAGTTACTTAACTAGTATACAATAGGAAATATACATATCATATTGATCCATAAATAGATCTTAAAAGTTACCATTCAATAATCTCTACAGAATATAACACTAATTTCCAACTGATGATCATTCAGTATTTATCATCGGTATCGATCAAAAAATAAGAAGAGAGAACTTGTTGAAATACTTTATGTGGAAAATTCTGTATTATACCAAAAATAGAATATTGAATAAAGCCATTCATAATAATAATCATAACTAATCGAATAAATAAAAGTGTATCCCTAAAAGAGAAAGGAAAAAAAGAATATTTGATGTTACACAGAATGATATTGTATGTGGGAGGGGAAGGGGTGTAGGATGGAGTACATGGTAACAAAATCAATAAAACAATCTATTCATTAATAATAATAATAATAATAATGTTATAAACGGTAAGATACTTGTTATAACTCTATGATTTCTTGTTATAACAATCCTTTCACATTTTACACGTATATCGGATGTTAATTTACCTTAAATGAATATTTACACTAGATTTCCAAACCAGTATCGTCTATTCTACAAGACTTCATAGTGTGTGTGTGTGTGTGTGTGTGTGGGGAGGAGGAGGGGGGTGGTGGTGGAAAGGATGGAGTACCTGGTAACAAAATCTATTCATCAATAATATTAATAATAATAAAAGTTTATATAATTATTTATGTATGATTCATTCAATTTTTTTATGTTTATTTTGATAATTTAATAATTTTAATTTCATTAAAATTTTTTTTATTATTAATTTTATAAATAATAATTGATTATATAATATCCAATAAATAATTAATCCAATCAATAATATACTACTAATAATAGTAATATAAATAATAATCATTGAATCATTTATTAAATTATTATATATATTAAATAATATTATTAATTGATTATTATATAATTTAATAAAATATAATTTTATTTCATCTTTAAATAAATATAAATGTAATATAATAATAATACTAAATGTAAATAATCCAAATTGTTTCGTTGAATAATGCATTGATTCAATTAATTTTTCAGTAATAATAAAGATAGTAAGTTAATGAATCTGTGTTAATCTTAATATAGATTTCCCTTTTAGTGAAAGTCTAATTTATTTTTTTTTTTTTGTTGTTGTTGTTGTTGTTGTTGAAAATCTTCACTAATAATATTGATATCAATTGTTCTAGTAATATGTTTTAATCATTGATCACAGAATGAGAAAAATAAAATGGGATCCCATTTCGTTTGTTTTTTTTGTTTTTAATTCTTAAATCTTTCTTTTTTTTTGTTGTTGTTGTAAAGATACAAGTCATTTATGATGTTTTCAAATAAACCATCTTTTATTTATTTATTTTTGTAATTTGGTTACAATGAACTAATCAATAATGTTATATGTAGGTTTAAAAATAAACCAATCAAATTGAAATGTGTTTATGAAGTTGATTTTGATTGGTTAAGTTGAAAAAAGTTATTCAGCCAATCAAATGTTCAGTCAGTATATATATATATATATATATATATATATATATATATATATATATATATATATATATATATATATATATATATATATATATATATATTATAAGTTTGAATGAGCCTATGAGAGTATTATTTGAGAGTATTATTGTGGTATCGATGAAAGCTGAATTTGTTTAGTATTTGTCGGTCCATTATTTTAGTTGCCTGTGTTTTTCTTTATCCTACCATCAGCTGTTTCTCACCTGCTTTTGTGATTTACTTCCACACTACTACATAACAGTCAGTAGTTCGAGTTGCAATTCACAATTAGTCAGGCGAATTGAGTGTTGACGAGTGGTTGGTTAGTATCTGGATGAGTATCTACAATAGAGTCAATCGTGTATGCAATAAAATCAATTACAAACTAATTTCCTGTTGGTGCTCGAGAGGAATAAAACGTCCTTCTGTTGATGGAGTTGGAAAGCCGATTTCAATTAACATCTGGAATTATCAGTGTGATGAATGTAGACCTAAAACGACTGAGTTGAATGAGAACACTAAATGTGGATCAATCTGGATCGTGACCGATGTTTTGTTATGTCACAAGTCTTTGACTAGTGGCCACGATAATCTTATATATCTCGATGAGGTAGTGTGTGCTTATCAATATGACTCAGTTCAGCGATTAATGGCTTTGTAGACTAATGCCTTGGCGATGTTTATTAATAATTGTAAACCCTATTATTACTGTCAAGTGACGCTAAAGTAATCTTGAAATTGTCTACCCTATAATTAGGACCAAATGAGGGTTATAAACCAGTGTGCGGAAGTAGAATTATGATTTACAGCTGATGGTTAATTTTAGGAACTAGAGTTAGAGTTTTCATCAAGAACTGACATCAGCTATAATGCTTAAATTCTATTTAACCAAATGGATGGGTGAACTTCGCACCAAAATCCGAGAATTGTTATCTCATCCCTGATTGATTCGTTCATAAATCATACTCTTGCCAAAATTTGTTTTAGTGCATTTACTTCATCTGAATTGAAACGTTTTCAATTTATTTCTAAACGATATAAAATAGGTGGAAATTTTAGATATATTTGACTCATCACCGACGAAACTATTTATACATAATGTAGAAAAAAGAGACTTATTTACATTCAGTTGAATGACTTTCTATGGAAAGAAAGTTCTTTTAAGTAATAATCAATTGATTCCCCATATTCAGATATAACATACTGTTACATCCTTGATCTGTCTACCCACTTCTATGCAGAGGATAATTTGTTTAAAACTAGATTAATACTTTGACACGATAGACTGACAGGTTCAACACTGAGGCTAGATACTCGTAAGTTCGAAGTGTGACTAACTACATGAGGTAGAGAGACGAAAACTATTCTATCATCTGATTAGCTGACAACCACGATAGAGTCAACTGGAACACCAATCGATTTATTCCCAATTCCAATCTGGATCCTGATTTCTCAGATGAGTATAAAAAGATACATGAATAATTAGATGACTAACCGGACCACAACGCACAAACAATTAGGAAAATACAATTATGTCCAAAACTGGGGGATCAGAGTAGAAAATAGAGTACAAAAGGTCACAGTGATGATAACCATGGATTTGCAATGAGCCTTATATAGTACTGTATATTTCCAATGTCGGTCTGAGATAACAATTTTAACAGTTAAATGCTTTATAGTAAGGAGTTTTTTCTATACCAAGTTTGTTAATGGCTAGGAGTGGAACCTGAGGAGTGTGCTTCTTTTTATCTGAGACTCGTCAGCTGGATGTGACTGCACCCGTGTCGATGCTTGCACTGGGTTTAGAGCACACCGCCTCTCGCTTCAAACGTTCAACGCCTTATCCACTTAGCAACTGAGTACTTAACATAAATGGAAAGATTCAAATCCTTACATATCAGTACACAAATTTGATTCCGATGACATACGGCTTTGACTTTTATATGGATACAAATCGTCAATGGTAAAGGATGGAAGCAGACTTGTCAAGTGAATGAGTTACATCTCATAAATAAAGACCCAGTCAATCCTTTCGCCCGTGAGTTAAATAACAGCTAAGACGTTATTTTGCACCTAGTTCGCTTCCAATTAGTAGAGTTTATCGTTATATTGGCTGGGAACTGTTTAACTTAGGCTTTATTAACAAAGGAAACATGTTGTTCTAAGTGGTTTTATTAATATTATTATTAACCACCATTACTCAAATTCACAGTTTGACATGTAGTGATCAAGCTATCTGGGTTACAACCGACCTTCAGTACTACTAGTAGTAACACCATCGTCACGTTTATGTAGATGTCTTAGCAGTGATCTTGAGTGCTGAGAGAGGTTTCCGGGAAGTTATCACTTCGCATTGGCCTACACCATGGGAGGATATAAAAAGAAAACTGGGTTAGGAATGGTCATGATGACTAAGGAGTGTAACGACAGAGCTAAGTAGACAATAATCTGTTGAAAGAGATGAGTGCTTCTCTTGAGATCGACCAATTTCAAATCCCTCCTTCCGCTGTGGGAAGGCAGTAACTTGTAACCTATACGCTGCTGCCATTAGATCCGCTGTAGAATGAGTACTGTGACTTTCCCCTTTCAAACCTTAAGTTAGTATTTTAGTCTTATCGATCTCCTTATCCGATCACTCTGGTATGGTATCACCTAAAATAGCTCGATTAGGTCGTCACAATCTGTAGGTACGACTATTACACCAGATACGATTGATATAAACACTGATCGAATCCTATTGACTAAGTTGTCACTAGAACTCCAGAACAAATGGTTTGAGACTCAACACAATGAAATACCATAAAATTGTTGATTTTTATTATACAGAAATCATAATATACACAAAACAGACAACATGACAATCTAACACAATAACCAACACATTTGAACATACTGGAAATACTTGTTACATGAACAAGAATATTTGTAATAGTGCAAAAGGTATAACTCAGGTAGAATCATAATAGAGAAAATGGAAGTTATCTGTTTCATCCCTTTGAAGTGCATTTTCTCAACATATAAGTGTGTGTGTACACAGTCACAAACTTTAGTGATTGAATAATCCATAAACAGACAATATACAAAATGGAATGATTGTGCATTCACACACATACACACAAGCACAAACATAAGTGCTGATAATTATGAAAGTGAAGTTTTCTATTCAGTAAAAAACAAACAACAACAGAATAAAGTGTAAAAGAGGGAATAGAAAATCCCATGTAAAACTTTTATTTGCATGTATGATTGTTGCTGCCTTTTTCTTCTTCCAGTCTTGTTATATGCACATATGAATGAGGTTATTTCATTGGAACAAATAGAAGATCTACCTATCTATATATATTAGGATAATTTTGGTCGTTTTGCATAGATTATATCAGTAGGAATAGTTGAACTGGCAGTAGTAGTAGTAGTAGTAACAGTTAGCTTATTTAATATTGTTGTTGTATTACCACTACTACTATTAATCATAGAAGATGGAGTTGTAGTAGTAATATGTAAAGATGAAGAATGAATTTCAATTGGCGGTCTATTACAATTAATTGTTATGGTTGGGGTTGATATTGTTGAAGAGGATCCAGATGATGATTGTTTTAAATTAATGGAACGTATAGTAGTAGTAGGAGTAGTAGCTATAGCAGTTGTGGATGGTGTAGAATTAGCAAATGACGATTCTACTACTACTGGTGGTTGTTTTGCATCACAGAATGTAGTAACACGGACAACTTTACGTACAGGATTAGGCTATTATTTTTGCAAATAATAAAAGTAAACAAGAAAATCAGTCGTTTACAACAATGAATAATCCTTTTGATCAATTTAGATATATAGTGAAACATATACAATCACAGTGGTTATTACTGAACAAGAAAGAAAACAATATCCATGCCCCACCAAGAACCTAAACAATATGTAAATCGATGCATCACATCCCATTGTTTACCAATGAAGTGAAGAGATCGATTACGAATACAGTGGTCTTGAGTGCTGTTAGAGGTATGAAGGGCAGTTACCACTTCCCGGTTGCCCACACTGTGGAAGAGTTCTTCTAGAGGTACCTTAAAAAAAATTGGATTAGGAGTGGCCTTAGTGAGCTGAGAGCATGACCGCAGTGCCCAAGGAACAACTGTTTGAGGTCGGTCACACACAACCTTTTTGTGTTAGCTCCGTACTTGTTGGGATCTTACCGCCAGAGACGGATATCCGTGGGATAAGGCGAGGTGTGCTTTTTTGGGTCGACCTTTTTTAACTTCACCCCTCCTTGTGGGAAGGCTGCATCGCTATTATGCTGATTGTCTGAATGAAACACCTTACTGCCATCATACCTCTGTACAGTCGGCTGTACGACTTCACCTTCGGACCTTGAGTTTACTGCTTTTAGTCTTACCACTCTTCAACCGACCTGTCTGGCATGGTAGGACCTTGAGGAACGATTGTTTCAGCCAGTATAGCTCGATTGGTTCATCACGATAGGCAAGCCCGACCACCACGTCAAGGTAGCAGCAACGATCGGGATTGTTTACCAATTCACGACTATGTGTATGTGAGTAAAGATACATAACTCGGGGACGAGTAATTGTGATTCGTTAGTCAGCTCGGTTGAACATGTACTTAAATAGTTACATATATAAATAAAATCAAATGATCTAATAAGCTCAGATGATAAAAACCTGAAGACTTTTGGAGTGAGGTTCGATTCGTAATCACCAATATCTAGGTTTGAAGCCCGATTCACTTACTTCGATCCGGGAAACGGAGTAGTAGTATAACTTATATCCAAGTAACCTTATCTAAATACTCAGCTCCTTGCATGACCTAACATAGTTGTTGAAACAGAAGATAGGATCAACCGCAACTTAGCCCTTGTGGCCTTGTACAGAAGTTGTCTAGTTTCAGATATACTATATACATTTGATAAATATGTTACGTAGATCTAACTTTTGCCCATCTTAATGGATGATGTTTGCTATTGCGGAAGTAGGCTGAAGGAAATCTAAAGGAGAACGAACCAAAACTTGGCATTAGTCCATGTAAAACCACTGGCTTGATCTGAGCTAGGAAGATCGGTGTAGACTGTTTGATTCAGGTTCACGAGATTATCGTAATCAATAGTTGCAGATGTTGTGTAACATGGCTCACTATCAGTCACAATGACGCCCTCATAAATACTCTTCTATTTTGTCTTTTCAAACCATATTTTCAAGCTTTAGTTTTTATTTTCTATCGTCGCTACTATATTATTTCGATTTTTTTAATTCCTATCTCATTTCCTGGCATAAAAACTTGTGTCAATGCAGATTTGTGACAGGCTCTTTGTTGATGATGTTTAACTAGTAAACGGAATTTTTGGGGAGTTTGGTTTTCTTTGTAGGTTGTTTTTATCACAGACCGATGTCATTTGAGGTACGTTGAGAACTAGGGAATACTGAAAATGGGTTTCGACCTAGTACGGAACTCGTCTGCAGTGAGGACCTATGACCTAAACAGGGATTGAATCCATATCCATCAAGGCTTCATGATCAACGCTTAATGATCACAACCACAGGAGTGTCATCCAGTAATACAATTTCAACCAATTTGTGGTATGACGCAACGGCCATCTAATATTGTTGGTGACTTATTTATTTTTATTTATTTAAATACATATATATTGGTACAAAAGGGCACCAGATACATATGCGCCATTGTTGGTGACAACTGTTTTATTTCCAACATGTATAAAATTCACCAGACATGACTGCAGAGGAAACCCATATAAGAATGAAACAGCTGTTTAGTACTCTCTAGGTTTCAATGATACTCGAATTGAGATGAATCTTTAGCGAATGCAAATTACAAATTGTGGGACTTATTGACTATTTAGATACCTTAATGTTTTATGTGAAATCAAACCTTTAAACTGAAACATTTTTTATACCTCCACTGTGATATTGCCCGGACGCCCAAACAGAAACAGGTAGTTTTCTTAGACAGCCACTTTCAGAGCCATTCACCTAGAGGTCTCATCCACAAGGTAGTGGAGCAACATTAGGAGATGCAGTCTCATTTTAGCCAGTGACCAACAATAGGTTAACGTGACATTTGTTCCCTCAGGATACTGGATCTCATGTGTGCTATTGGTTTGGAATCAGGGTTTCTCAACTCCCCATGGTGGACTCGCCGTATCCACCGGCCCGGTTAAAGCACCGGACATTCACTTTTCGTCCTCTCAATTTCGTAAACCACACCTATGGTGCGAGAAGACAGTGGGTAGGACTTCCCTGACAGAGCATTTATACGCGTGGCCGTGTGAGAGCATTTCGAGAGAGAGGGCGGGCTCTATATTCTCTGAGCTGGATGATAATATAATTACGAAATTTCTAATATCATTCCGTTCAACATCGTCAGAGTCTACTTTATTTAAAAGTAATTTTTTTTTATCAACTCCGTAATTATTATACCTATCGATTTTAAAGGCTAATTACAAGCAAGGAAGGTAGGATGTTGGAACGAAATGATTAAGTACTTAGAATGACTATAAAAGTTTCGCAATTAAAATCTGTCTCCAAATGCCCTGGTAGGGTCAAGAGTACGCAGAGTCTGCTCTCCCTCTCAAAATGCTCTCACATAGCCTCGCGTATATAGCTTCTGCTCGGGAAGTCCTACTCACTACCTTCTCTCAAAGGGGGTGTTGCTTACAAAATTGAGAGGACGAAAAGTGAATGTCCAGCACTTTAACTAGGTTGAGGGATTCAGAAGATCCATCTAGGGGAGTTAGAAAACCATCATTCCAAACCAATGATGCACATGGGCTGGCTCCAGTATGCTGAAGGAACAAATGGCGTATGAATCAATCGTTGGTCATCGGTTAGCATGGGACTGCATCTCCTCACGATGCTCCACTGAGTAGTGGATCAGATCTTTAGGTCAAAGGCTGGTGGTGTGGCTCCCTAAGAAAACCACCTGCTTCGGTTTGGGCACCCGGACATTATCACAGTCCTCACACAAATCGAATGACATTTGTGCGGCGCATATGAATCTGGTGCCCCTTTGCACTAATACTTATGTATTTAAATAAAATAAATTAAACTATCTGACTGAGCACACAACACTATTATTACGTAAATATACATACATATATGCCACATTCTACCTTACCATTGTTAAAATTGACGGTGGAGAACAACTACCAGTGGTTGTTGTTGTTGTACTGGTTGATATTTTATCTTTATTGGATTGTTGAACAGGTAATTCAATGGGTGTTGACGAACTAATTTTATCATTATTGAATACATTTGAATGTTTTTGATTTAATTTCTCTAATTTATTTTTATTGTTACCGGTTCCCTCTTCAATCTTCTTTACTACCAATTCTTCTTCTTCTTCTTCGTCAACAATATTATCATTATTGTTATCATGAGGATCATTGATAATAACTTCTTCAATGTTTGATTGTTTCTCGTGGTTTATTTCATCTTCCATTACTAAAGTATCTTTTTGCATACCAGTAGTATTGAGCAAATTATCAGTTGAATCTAACGATTGAGGTATTAGAACAGTAGAAGTAGTAGTGGCAACGATTGAAGCATTTCGACAATAAGCTTGTGCTGAAGCATGGGCTTCTTTTAACATGGCATTTTCATCACCCAATGAATCATCTACCTCATCTTCATCATCTAAGTATTCATCAACTTCTTCATCGAAATCATCTACTTCTTCTTCATCATCATGATGATTCATGACATTTTCGTCAACAATGACATTATCATTGTCTAATTGTTGTTGTTGTTCTCGTCTATTTTTCTCGCGACTAATAACATCATCAGTGTTAGTATCCGGATTACAATCATCGCTGCCTACAACAACAACACGGTCTTTAGTTAAATTAATTGAGTGTTGTTGTTGTTGATGATGAAATATAGAGTTTGTATGATCTACATCATTATTGTTATCATTATCATCATTAACAAATGGCAAATAATTTGAATTATCATGTTGTGGAGAATTAATGGTTGTTGTATTATTATTATTATTATTATGAATGGATTTAGATTTCCCAGGAACATTACGACTGTCCAAATGTAATCGATTTTGAGTACAATGTTGTTGCGTAATATCCTGTGGGGGAATAAGATTTAAAAGTATGAAAACTTTAGAACTTTATGATACAATGTTGGATAAAGTAAAGAGTTGAAAGATAACTAGGGGTGACTAAACCAGGACATGATATTAATTTACTTAGTAACCTATTGATAGGCACAAATAATGTGGTCGAAGTGCATGTGATAATGGTTGGACAAGTTGAATAACAAAGCTTAGAGTTAGTAACCTTCACTTTAGACCTAGAGTACTATGTGAGTATGGCAAATCCATTGACCAGGTAGTGAATCATTATCGACTGAAATGCTTAGGATATATATTACATACAACCATCCCCTGATTACCTCAACACGTGATGCTGTCTAGTGTACAAGTAAGTTGGAAGAAATTTAGGGGTGATCAAACCAAGATATTATATCAGTTCATGAAGTCTGTAACAATCGGCCTGAGTCATGTAAGTAGATGCAAAAAATCTGGATGAGCTCTACCTGGTTATCATAACCAATGAGTAGAGGTAGGTAACATGGCTCAAAATCCTTCGCAATGGTACAAGCGCAATTATTCTTGGTCTTTTCTTGGATCCTAAGTTTCTATATTCATCATTAGTTTTTTAAAAATCGAATCTCTGATGCCTAACCACTTCCATCACCATTGATGCCGTTACTACCTGCATTAATTTGGAATTCGCCCTCAAAACTTCATCTCGTTGCGCTAATGAGGTATGGTACCATTAAAAGTAATGATGAATTTCAGGGCTGATTAAAACTTTCTGACTATAAAACTGAGGATACCTGGTAATGAAAACATCATCATTATAAATAAGTTACAAAAATTTCACTTAGATAACTTAGATCTGTAACGATTTAACAATATTAATAAAGTAAGGAGAGGGTTAGAAAACTCAAGCCTTAAATAAATACACTTCACTTTGCTTCATGAATCCTATTGTCAAAAAGTTTGAGATATATAGAGCTAACATATCAAAAGGTAATCCCAAAACGATCACATGTGACTAGTTTCAAGAAAGTGTATTTTTTGGGGGGGAGCCTCAGTCACGCGCGCAGGGTAACAAGACCACTCTACGACTAAGAATCCAATTCTATTTTCAGGTAGCTCAATAATATCTTTTCACGATGTGAACCTTCAGGATTAAACAACTGTAAACACTTGAGATTACGTTGTTCACCATCAAATCCCTTCGTCAATTCTTGTATGCATAACATTAGTGATGTAGTTAGACACACTAAAACTTTACAATGCATACTGCTCACATCATCATCATCATCATCATCATCATCAAAGAAATTTCTACAATCATACCAACAATTATTCTAAGACTCAAGAAAGCAAAATAGTCATCAGATTTTATTAACCATGAGAATCCACCTAAGAAAACCAAAATAGTGAGTAGCATTCAACTACTTATACCTCTAAGTAGTAGTAGTATTTGGTCGAATTAAAATCTCAGACGTTTAGGTAAGTTAGTAGTAAAAGGAATCAGTTTTCAATTATCTATTTGGGATATATACAAGTAGTCTGTAAGAAATCAATGACTTGTGTTTCTCACTAGCTGGCACTCATCTGTAAGTTGCGCCTGTAATCTTTAGGTAATCGACTTTACTTACAGATTAAAAATCACCCAGACGTCGCCACCGGGCTATTCGAAACATGACTGACTTCCTGTTCTAAGAAGATGTTTATTATAGACTGGCAATTAAGTAGTGAACAACATTATCTGTGCATAGTCTTTAGAACTGACAAATTCTATCAATTAATTTACAGTTTGACCTGGATAGCTGAATGACAAATGATTACATCAATATATGAGCTTGATGGATTATATTATTCTTGAAGTCTCCAAGGTCTTCACTGAAATGATTGATTTGCTTGCCAAATAAACTTATGGCTACATAACTAACAATCATAGTGATTCAGTTCATGCATTTATTGAATACACAATGTATGCATATTGTCTTACTTAAGACTCGTTAGTGTTTATATTTACACCGAGACTAGAACTGAGAATCTTTTCGCAGCTAATACACCAAAACCTTACCGACTGAGCTATTGAGTTCTGATGACTAGTAATTTGCATGTATTCTGGATTCAAGTGCTAGGCGTTATATCCAAGCTTTAGTAAGCAAAAATCTAGACAATTCGCATAGGATGTAGATATCGTAATAGAGATTTAGATCGATTGTAACCCGGACTATCAACAACTGAGAAATGATACCCATTTATGTTACATACATAGAAATAATAATAATAATGCTTACTCTGCCCATTTCACCCATTACAGCAACCGGTGTCATGCCTAAATGTGCAGCGACTTTATGCTCCACTAGATAAAATATATACTCATCATATAATAATCGAATTAAATGAAAACTGCCAAAACTTGATGCTGATCTCAATGTCAGATCTCTAATCACCATTGAACTAATTGATTAAGGAAAAAGAAAAAGAACAAAACACAGTAATAGTAATATATATACAAAAGTAAAAATGTAACTACAACTTTTAAAAATATAGAAAAGATGAATAAGACTAATCGTTCAAAGATGTGGTAAATAAGTATTTATGTGTACGGCAACCATAGAGAATCGGCAAAGCAAGAGCAGCATATTTACAACTGAAGAACATATGGAACTCAAAACAACTGTCTGTCAACCAACATCAAGATCAGAATTTTCAATACAAATGCCAAGGCAGTTCTATTGTATGGGGCGGAAACTTGGAGAACTACGAAAGTCATGATCCAGAAGATACAAGTGTTTATTAACAGTTGTCTACGCAAGATTAGTCTTGAGTGCTGTTAGAGGTATGAGGGCAGTTATTGCTTCCCGAGTTCTTCTAGAGGTACCTGAAGAGGAAATTGGGTTAGGGGTGATCCTAATGACCTGAGAGTGTGACCGCAGTACCCAAGGAACAACTGCTTGAGGTCGGTCACACACGACCTTTTTGTGGATAATTTTTGTGTTAGCTCCGTTCTTCAAAGGACCTTACCGCCGGAGACGGAAATCCGTGGGATAAGGTGAGGTGTGCATTTTAGGGTCGACCTTTTCTAACCCCACCCCTCCTTGTGGGAAGGCAGCATCGCTGTTATGCTGATTGTCTGAAGGAAACACCTTACTGTTGTCACACCTCTGTACAGTCAGCAGTAGGACTTCGCCTTCCGACCTTGGGTTTGCTGCTTTTAGTCTCACCGCTCTTCAACCGACCTGCCTGGCATAATAGGACCTTGAGGAACGATTGTTCCAGCCAGTATAGCCCGGTCGGTTCATCACGATAGGCAAGCCCGACCGCCACGTCAAGGTAGCAGCAACGCAAGATACTTTGGATCCGTTGGCCAGAAACTATCAGCAAGAAGTTACTGTGGGAGACAACAAACCAGATTCCAGTGGAGGAAGAAATGAAGAAGCGCTGGAAATGGATAGGACACACTTTAAGGTAATCACCCAACTGCGTCACAAGACAAGCCCTCACTTGAAATCCTGAAGGCCAAAGGAGGAGAGGAAGACCAAAGAACACATTATACCGAGAAATAAAGACAGACATAAGAATGAACAAAAATTGGATAGAACTAGGACGAAATGCCCAGGACAGAGTGGGTTGGAGAATGCTGGTCGGTGGCCTATGCTCCATTGGTAGTAACAGGCGTAAGTGAGTAAGTAACCATAGAGTTTCAAATTATGACACCGTCAACTTACTTACTCCTATTTCAGCAACCAAACAGCATTGTATGAATAGCCTTAAAACAAATGATTCAGCTCAATAAAGTCCAGGAAATTCAACTTATGGAAGTTTTGTAAAAACACATCAGTAAACTTATCAAAAATTAATCTTTTAGCAGGAGAATTTTTTATGTTGATTTAGAATACTCAGTTGATATAGTTTTTTTTTGGTGAAGACACTAAAAATCTCCAGTTCCTTGACCACCTTGAGCAAGAATAATACATGCATGATTTGAATGTATTTCTCTCCTTTCTGATATAAAATATTACTTCAAGATAGGTCTGAGGTAACGCCTGAATGAATGATAGGAAGTGAACTATTGTCTACCAATTCACATATTTTAAGAGTCTCATCACTTTTGATGGATTGATGTCTGAAGAAATCTCGGTTGACCCTTGCCAACTTGCGTCAATTGTGGTGCAAGTGAGTTATTCGTCTATTAGCTAAAGAATGATAATACGGTACAGTACTTCGCTTCTTCCTACTTTATGGGTGTGAAAAGTAACCTTTAAAAATGTAGGATACTTGTTGATGGAAGATGTGCAAATAATGTCATTTAATGTATGATTTTCATATTTGACGACAGAAATTTGTAATTTTGTATTAAACAATAAATTAGTTTCTTCCAACTAAGTTCTCGTTCAGTAAAATACATTGATAATGAAATTAATAACTAATAAATAATTTATTCAGTTATATAATATAGCCTTATGGGCCAGGGTAATTTTGAATTGGTTATCAGGAGAATCAGACACCATTCAGACTTTCACGCGACAACCCAAACAGTACAGCTCAATCCCATTCAACAGGAGAACCAGACACTGCTCAGGCTTAACCCGAGCAGTACAACTCAATCCCGCCCAATAGGAGAACCAGACACTATATGAGCTTCAACGCTACAATCCGAACAGTACAGCTCAATCCTGTGGCGCATCCACACCAAGCACCCTGGTGGAACTTATCAAATTTTTAGTCGCACAGAAACACACTTAAAACTGATAAGCATGACGGGAGTAGGGTATAAGGATCACGATCTATGGAACTTTGAAGACAACTGAAGAGTCCTTGGTATTTCTTTTTTAAGAAAATGAAAGAACTAACTGGTTAAATGTTCCTCTACATATGTCTATAAAGGATATTTTGTTTCGATTCTATTTCTTTCTAATTAAAACTTTCAACTTTAACGCTTGTTAGGGATGTTAGATTTTCAAAGATCACTTGGTAAACATCACCTTTTTGTAATGTTATTGTGAAAATTAGAATTTCTCATTTTTGCGGCAAAAGCGACTGTTTTTACCTTACCTTCATTTTGTATTTATCACTTGGAAGGACCTTAAATGTTATTGGTTCGTTTCCACTTTTAGTACGTTTTCCAAGGACATTTAGGTACTACATATATATACGCATGAGTTGTGTGCTTATTCATTCGTGCTTCTGACCGCTTGTGGAATATACATTTCCCTTGACTAAATCTGGTATTCTCCCTCTAGTTATCAGGGATGAGGCAGAGTGGAATAGTTTAACTTATCCTGTTGTTGTGTTGTTGACTTTCGTTCCGCTTGCCGGTTTTAGGTGATAACGTAATCTCTCTAAACGTAGCAATCCTAACATCCAAACTTTAAAGCCTTATAACTTTAACTAAAGCATTTTTTAAAGTCTTTTTTTGTGTAATAAGTTATTCACTTTCTTAATGTCATTTTACAAGTTGTTGAAGGTTGTCAATTAAAGTATGTACTTTTTCCACCTTTTATTTATTGGCTAATTTGAGGTCTATGAAAATCAGGATGTTAGTGATTCAAGAATAGCTTGGATATAAGGTTCTATTACTACTAAAGGGGAAACTAACATAGCTCAGGTTTTTGATTATTTATCATCCAATTTATAAGGGAGTAGGATGAAATAATCATTCGACTGATGAATCAATCAAACTAGATACATTTGAGTTACATAATCAATGTTTTCGGATTTTTACTAGTATAGGAAAATTTTCATAGTTTAAATCATAAACTAGCTTCGAGATAGAACTTCTAGAGTTCTGATAAGGTCGTAACCAGCGCAGTTCAACTTTGACATGTAAGAAACAATTAATTGTCCATTGATGGCAATGAATGAGAGTTGCAAAATATCGTGAACTGATCGAATTTGGACATTCACATTTTGGGATGGCGTTTCAGTGGTCTAGAGGTGAAGCATTCATGGGTGAGACCGAATGACTTAGGTTCGATTCCTTGTGGTTGGAATTGTGGATGAGCACTGTTAAAGAGCTTTATATTAGGAATCCAACAGTTGTTTAGTGATTCCAAGTTTTCAATGGTTGCTTACCAAGAAGATTACTTTATAATTTAAACTATGAAAATTTCGGATTTTTTAAAATTTAATCATTACGAACTTACCTGTAAAAAGACCATTTCAATACTAGTTGATGAGCAGCTCTTGTATAAGCTAAACTATTACCTTCAAGTGGTTGTAAGATACTAGTTACTACTGTATCTAACCATTGAGCCCATTCTTCCAATGATGCATGCTTTTGTAAAATACGTTTAAAATCATGCTCTAGTTGACTAACAGTAGAATCACTGCATTGACAAACCCATGAAGCTTGTTCCTGTAAATCGAGAGAGAGAGAGAGAGGAAGAAAGAGAAGTAAACAACACTTGATGGAAGAGATGTTATGAAAAAAGTGAATATAACATTAGGTGGAGAAAAAGAAAACATAAGGTATAGGGAGATTTCTGGACTCAGGTTCTAGAAGACAAGGAGTGAATCCATCTACGCTATTGTGAACAATTTCAAGCTACGTCACACAAAACATTGGTTACGATAATCATACTCACCTCGACTTGGTGATCTGGACCTACATACATGACTCAGTTCAACAATTAGTGTTTTCATGGACTGATGCTTTAGCCTGGTTAGAATATCTCCAACTTCTTCCAGCCTACTCTTGAATCAGCCATTATCAGGTATTCAAGTAGTCGGTTGGTGTCCAAACGTAATACATGTCCCAAATATCTCAGTCGATAATGAACAACTATCTTATCCATCAATTTGCTAATCCTACTTAGTACTATCTAAAACAAGAGTTGTTCAATCAATGTTTCGAAAATGTACGAGCAATACTTCGAAGTCATCTATGATCGAATACGAGAAATTTACGAATATCCTCTATTCTTAATTACCAGATTTCACACATATAAAGTAGAACGAAGCAAATTGTTGCATAGAACCCTAACACGTATTTGAAAAGCCCGGTTGGTTTTTTCCAAATTACGTCACTTGTGATGTAGGCAAACAAAGAACAATCTAAACTGTACATAAATATTAGGTTTTAGAGTTATCTTATACCTTTTATCCCACGAATTCATACAGTTTACTATGCTTATTGTTTCCTATAACTACTGATTCTGTTAACCCATAATAAAGCCAACAGAAAGAATTGATTGAACGCTTGTGAAATAACTAGGAAACTGATAATATTTTCATCGAGGACAGAAACGAGAACTCCGTATATCAATCATTTAGCTTCAAAGAACTTAATAACACCGAAAGCAACCACTATAACTATAAATCTTTATCATTATTTCAATCATGCTGCATGACTGAAGACCATTGACAGAAACTTATGTACGATGTAATTGTCGAAGATGAACATTAAATCACAGATAATATTGAAAAGTTTGGAATATTCGATGTTTTGTGCCAAAGCATGAGAATCCTTAGGAGTGCATCGAAACCATACTCAAAGTATTGAGTTGGAAGAACACAATAATTTCATATTTTCAACTGTAATCGATTTGTTTACTTCTGACGAATCTCATAAACTGGAATGACAAAAAAACACTGTCCTCTAGTCTCTCTTTTTTTCAATGGTATTCTAAGAGATAATTCGAAGTGACATTAACAGTGTTAAATGCCGGCTCAGTGATATAGAGGTTAAGCGTTTAAGCGCGAGACCGAACATCCTGGGCTGGATTCCCGCGTGCATGATCGTGCATGCGCAATGCTGAATTCCATACTAGGATGAAACAGACATCCGATGCTTCCAGGATTTCAATGGTAGTCTAACTTAGAACGACTAGTGAATTCAACGGCTAATGAATGGAGCACATTTTTCCACTATGACACCACATGATACAGAAACAGAAATACTTACTTGTACATTATTGAAATCGACACGATTTAAATCAGCTAACATTTGATTAATTTGATTAGCATTTTTTAATACAGCACGTGCAGCTTGAGCTAAATGATTTAAACTAGTATAACGTCGAAGAGTTTGTGCTAATGCGCATACAGCGGATATTTTTAAATTAATAAGATTTGTATCTAAACCTTGTATAGCTTGACGCATCCAACCCTAGTGAAAAAAATATAGGGAAAAATTGTATTAATATATAAAGTTTGTGAAGATGAATGAATCGTATGGTTTATATCATAGATTCAATTTAGTTAAACAAATACTAAAAACCAAAATGCATTGGGCAGTTGTCTCATCATAACATGGGGCTCTGTCGAGACTATAATTTATGGACAAGCCAATCAGAAGCGTTTGGGGGATTTTAAGGTCACAACACCTATTTCAGTACCTGATGTTCATGTACGATCGGTTCACAGAGAATTTTAGAGAAAGACTTGATAATTAAGCGGCTACAACAAATGAAACTACTAAGAAGTTGCTGTATTTCTAATTACGAGTATTAAATGACTTGCAGACCTTGTGCAGACTACCGTGATGCTGTCCTTCGATGTAACATATGTTGAAGGAAGAAGTTTGCTAGAATAAGAACTTTTATCGCTCGATCCAGATTGAAACTTAGGCATATTATAATAATTGCCGCCAACTGTATAATAAAAGCACCAGTAATAGTGGCTGCAATAATCGCAGATGTTACTGAAGCTTCGGCTGTGCAGTAGTATGAGTATTGTAGGGACATATCCATAATAAAAATGATAAACTTACACAACCGGAGTACACACAAACAATAATGAAGCCATGTGGCCGAGACTGAGAGGGTTTTTATGACCTTATCATGGCTCCAGAGACCAACTATTATGGAGCCATATGGATGAGTTCCTCTACCTTATGCATTACGATTTTGGAAACTTTGAAACTTTTTCTAACATTGACAAGTTTTTGGACCATATAAAAAAAGTGTATCCACTTTAATTATTTTGTTTTGTATAATATATTTTTATCCTATGCTGACTGTTTACTGATTGACTAACGTTTCTCAAGGTCACTCAAGATTCATTCAAAGGTCGTCCATAAATTGTAGTCTCACCGGGGCTCTTTGTAAGTGAGCATCTACAAACTCACCGGGAATCGAACCCAGAATTTTCAATTCTTACAGTTAGTGTTTAACTTTTAGATAACTGAGTCAGGATTCAAATGCTTTGTGGTCTATCCTACTTATGTCTTTCAATATAAGTAGTATGTAACACCAGTCTGAAGTGGAAAATTTGGTAACACAAGGCTAAGAAAATCGAGTTGAAGAGAATAGAAGGGAAAATAGAAAAGGATTATGGACTGGAAGAATCATACAGAATGTGAAGGATAAATGATGGAACTTCGTAAACAAGGTATTCAGTATATGGTTCTTATATTTTACCAAGATACTCTGTAATTTTGTATTAAAATACAATTGGTCATCCCCACCTGAGTCTCGTTCATCACAGTTTATATTCCTAACTTTAGTCGATTCGTGATATAGCTCAGTTATTCTCTAAAACAAACCATTAATAGATAAATGTCTCATACTGGTCACGTCGATTCTCATTCGAAATTTGGGGATTATCTCTTGAAATTAACCCCCAAAGAGTAGGGAATTAATATTAGTGTGATAGCGTTTGTAATAATTATATTATCTAAACATGAATTTTCGGTTTTGAATAATTTATAAAAGTGGATAAGGAGAATTTTCGGACGAAAGTGAACATATTAACAACCACTTAAATGTTCATAACTTAGTAACATACAAATTAAAGTATCTGAATGTACCAGATAATTTAGTTAATCGAAAACAATGTAGAAAATGGTACACATGAGCCCCCAAATGCCCCGGTACGGCCGAGAGTGGGGAGAGTACACTCTCCTTCTCCAAATACTCTCACATGACCACGTGTATACAGCCTCTGCCATACAAGTCCTACTCACTGCCTTCTCGCACTACGGGTGTTGTTAACGAAAGTGAGAGGACGAAAAGCGAATGTCCGGTGCTTTAACCGGGTTAGTGGACACGGAAAGTTCACCTAGGAGAGTTGGAAAACCCTCATTCCAAACCAATGGTTCATATGGGCTCTAGTATCCTGGAGGAACAAATGGCGTATGAATCAATCGTTGGTCACCGGCTACCATGGGAATGCATCTCCCTACGATGCTCCACTGTCTTGTGGATCAGATCTTAAGATCAAAGGCTCCGGGTGTGGCCCTCTATGAAAACCACCTGCTTCAGTTTGGGCACCTGGGCAGTATCACATCCCTTACATAAATCAAATAAGATTTGTGCGGCGCACATGTATCTGGTGTTTCCTTGTACCAATGTTTGTGTTTAAATAAAATAAATAAAACATATGTGAATGAATTGAACACATGTTGTTTGAGGTTCCCCATTGGTAAAAGATTTTAGTAAGTCCATTAGAGGAATAATGATGTACCGTTGTTGACTATATTGAAGAGTCTAGCATCATTACCATTTTCAGTAATGGTGCCTTTCTACAAAAGCAGAAGATAAAACATATCTGTCCTGAGAAAAATTTCTTAATACTTAACAGATTCCTAGTCTATATGACAAGGTTTGAAAGCTTTGGAGATAATATAAAAAAATCGGTTGCCTAGCCTTAAACAGTTGTTTTTTCCCAGAGATACCTGGCAGGGTTATTCGAAAAGTGTCTTTCTTCAATCACTTAAAAAAGGAACCAGCTTCAGGATGTAAATTATCAAGAGAAATAAGTTTCTTTTGTAACACTCGCTAACGTAGACGATCTTTTCCTTTAAAAAGGAGTTTTTCTTGGACTACTGTTTCAATGCATTACAATTCGTTCTTCCGTAAAAGATATCCTAAATAAAATTGTAGATTATATTACGAAATGACTTTAACTAACATTACTGAATCCTAATTCACCAAGTGGTCTATCATATACTCGCCAAAAAGCCTGAAAGTGATTAGTTCGGATCTCTGGCAGGATTTTGCATCGGCAATTATGAAGAGTCTCATACAAGGACAAAATAACTTATTGTTTCCTAGTTTTCAATAGTTATCTAGACAGATTTTCATCACAAGCTTATGTCAACTAGTTAAGGAATATTACACGTCAAGAGAGGAGGGAGGGAACACTGAACTACTAATTTAACGTAATATAAAGTAATAATAATCTTTCTTCTAAAAAAATAATTGGCTTACTTCAAGAGATTTTGCAAAATTACGGATTGCTTGTGTAAGAGTTGGTGGAATAGGTCGAAGTACATTTGGTATTAAAACTTCAGCTAATGATTGATAAAATGTATGATCATAAAGTCGAATGAATTGTAAAATGGCAGGATCCGATACGAGTGAATATAATCGTTCTTGTGATAAACTTTGTTTTAACCGAGAATCCTATCAATAACAAGAAATAAACACATTAAACTAATTTGAAGTCATTTAAATAATAATTCACTTAATTAAATGAAAGAGCGTTCCGAAGACTGTAAAGACTCAGATCCTCAAACGAAGAAACTGTCCTGATCAATCTTACTTTTAGATGGGAACATGCGCCTAAAAGGAAGTTATACTCAAGGCGATGGTTGCAGATAATCGACAGAAAACCCTGCACGATTTAGGTTTCGTGCTATTTGGAAATGGCTAGAAAGGTGTATTTACAATATTAAAAGAACCAATGCTTCCTGGAGGATTCGAACCCATGTCGTTCAGCTTCAGTCAGAGAGGTTACAGATACACCTTGGTGATGAGCACCGAATAGCACGAAAACTAGGTTAAGTTTCCTGTCGTCTACCTTCAATCATAACCAGCTTACATCTCATACATACATAACAAAGGTAACTGCCCAATAATCAATCAAGTGTAAGCGACGTCAGATCTTTGCATATACAATTATCCCTAAGGTGTTCATAATAAATGATAGGCAATGCATATAGCTTTTACTATGCGTTTTAGAAGCCATCGCTATCACATGTACAGAAAAGCGAAATAAACCTTCTTGGTCCCAACCAAGGAGTCATGACAGATTTGACATAATGCAATTCAGTCAGTCATCAATTACTTATTACAGAAAATGCATAGGGTTCAACCACGAAGTTTATATCAGAAGTTGCTGACATGATATTACCATTCTGGCTTTTTTTCAACTCATATTTTCATATCAGCCAGTTTTTCTCATTGGAGAATTTGAAGGTTGAGTTAATTGTGATGCGTCCCTCAGTCGATGAAGGTTTATATACTTATAGACTTGACTTTAACGTATATTTTTTTAGTGTAAGAGTTGTTTATTCTAAAGCATCTGAGCTGGGGGTTCGAACATAAGCTGCCAATGATTGAAATTCAAATGTACAAAGTCTCTGGGATTATCAGAAGGGGTTTTGTGGAGATTTAGTATTTCCGTAGATGAAAGCGTGAGTCAATTGAAGCTAGACCACCATGAAAAGCCTGGAAGCACTGTTTTAAGGCCTTTTCGTCCTATTGTGGGACTCGTCAGCAGTGCGCACCCACGATCCCGAACTCGCGAGACTCGAAACCAGAACCTACCAGTCTTGAGCCAGAGCCCTTAACCGATAGACCACTGAGGAGTCCCATAATAGGACGGAACGGCCGTCCAGTGCTTTCAGGTTTTCCATGGTGGTCTAGCTTCAATTGACTCACGCTTTCAACCATGAAAGTCTCTGAAATATTTGCTTCCTAACGATACTACCCTATTGATGATTGAGAATATTGTGAATAAATGAATATAGAAATACAATAGAACAGCCGAAAAAAAGAAATCCAAAGTATTTTTATACTTACTCGTACTTCTTCAGTACACCAAAATGCTTTCCATACTGTTTCAATGGATGTAAAATCTAAATTGACTACAGCATCAAGCATATAACCAGCGGATAAAGCATAAAGACGACAAAATGTAATTACATCTTCATTTATTGGTGAAATATTCGATGTTTCAATTGTTTTTAAACGATTTTTATTCAATGAATTCTCTGGTAAATCAACTAATTTTTTTAAGAACAAAAACAAAACATGGAAATCATTATTGGAGGATTAATGATAAGGAGTGAAGTAGTTAAGGGTGCCGACTGCCTAACCTAACTTGGGAGTCTCGTCAGTCCTGATGGGCCGATGTCTGACTAAATCTCATCTCGGATTAAGAAAGCTCGATCGGGCTCTGCCAACTTGCGTTACTTGTGACGTAGGCGAGATATACAACTGCCAACCGAAGGATGAGTTTACTGCCCAGCATCTCGCTCCGTCCTACTTTATGAATGTGCAACGGTCATCAGGTATAGAGGATACTCGTAGATTACTAGTATTCGGTCATAGGAATCTTCAAAGTATTGACCGAGTATTTTGAGACCATTGTGTTATCAACATCGAGGTACTGGGTAGAAATAGAAAATTGATTAGTGAAGCAGTAAATCTTCATCAACTGAGATCCTTGGGATACGTGTTATGTACGCTAAACCACTACCTATTTAGATGGTCGATGCCCCCAAATGCCCTGCTACGGCCGATGATGGGGAGAGTCCGCTCTCCTCGAAATACTCTCACATGACTACGCGTATACAGCCATTACCTTTTTGCGGCGAGGGTGTTGCTTACGAAACTGACAGGACGAAAAGCGAATGTCCGGCGCTTTAACCTAGTTGGTGGATACGGAGGGTCCACCTAGGAGAGTTGGAAAACCACAATTCCAAAACAATGGAGTATGAAGTATGCTTTGGGAAGGTGTGATGAGAATGCTATTAATTCCTTTTAATACACGTATCTACAAAATGCTGACTACGTATGGTGGAACCCATTGGGTGACTAAATGGTTAGGTTTTACCTAGAATTATAAAACTTACGTAAGGTGGATCGCTTGATAAGACTGAAATTTCATTACATAAAATTATTTAGAGGGGGGGCAGTGTTATAAATTTCAAAAAGGTGTGGATGTATCTCGATTATTTCAGAGGTCAGGAATGAGTAATGCCAAATTCAAGTCAATTCTAACCTAGTGTTATGACGAAAAAATTGATTTGACAGAACATTGAGATCATCGCTTCTCCAAATGCCCTGGCACGTTCGAAGGTGAGGAGAATCCATTCTCCTCGAAATGCTCTCACATGGCCACTATCAGGGAAGTCCAAATCACTGCCTTCTCGCGGCAGGGGTGGTGTTTACGAAATTAATAGGACAAAGAGTGAATGTCTAACGCTTTAAGCGGGTTGGCGGATATGGACGATCCACTTAAGGTAGTTGGAAAACCACAATTCCAAAACAATGGTCCACATGGCATCCAGGATCCTGAGCGAACAAATGGAGTATCAACCTACTGTTTGGGATTGCATCTCCTAATGTTGCTCTACTGCCCTGTGGATTATACCTTTAGGTGAAAGGCTCGGGAAATGGCCGCCTAGGAAAAACACCTGTTTCGGTTTGGACGTCCGGGCAGTATCACAACCCTCACACAAATCAAATGATAGTGTTGCGCACATATACTTTATGCCTCTTTATATCAATGTTCGTTTTTGTTTAAATAAATATGATCGCTCAACTGGTCAAACGAACAATTTTTCCACAGGACTGCTGAACTCCATACCTTCATAAGACATTTTAGAAGATGGAATCAATGATCAATTGATTGAATATATAATTACTAGAGAAATCTATTATTCATAAACAAAATATCCAAACATAGTTGGACTTATAAGATAAGAATCGGTTAATCATGAAAGAACATTCATTTTGTCCAATTACGTATATAGATTTACGAAAGTTTTTTTACGGAGAGCTTCATATCTTTATTTATTTATTTATTTGAACACATAAAAATTGGTACAAGGGGGCACCAGATATATATGCGCCACACAAATCTCATTTGATTTGTATGAGGGCTGGGATACTGTCCAGGTGCCCAAACTGGAGCAGGTGGTTTTCTTAGGGGACCACACCACCAGCCTTTGACCTAAAGATCTGATCCACAAGACAGTGGAACGTTGTAAGGAGATGCAGTCCCATGGTAGTCGGCGACCAACAACTGATTCATACGCCATTTGTTCCCTCAGTATACTGGAGCCAACGCATGTGCACCATTGATTTGGAATTGTGGTTTTCCAACTCTCCTAGGTGGACTTCCCGGGTCCACCAACCCGGTTAAAGCGCCGGCCATCCGTTTTTCGTCCTCTCAATTTCGTAAAAAACACTTATGGTGCGAGAGGGCAGCGAGTAGGACTTCCCTGACAGAGGCTATATACGCGTGGCCATATGAGAGCATTTCGAGAGAAAGATCCTACTCTCCCCACTCTCAGTCGTACCAGGGCATTTGGGGGCAGCTTCATATCTAATCGAAACGCACGATCTCACTCTACACACAAAATTTATCAAAGCCGAATACTATGGTTGAATATCTGTTATCACATCTACATGTTCTTGGCAGAAGCAGTAGCCCAAAGGGATCACAAAATTACACATATGTGTTGTAAGTCTTGATGACCTCAAGTAATTGCTTATCTCATCGATAGCATATTTATTGTAATAGTGCGTGTTTGTCACATTAAATAGCAATAATAAACATTTAGCAAGTAATATCCTTAGTAGTAAGGGAAATGAAGTTAGTGGTTACTTGAACTCAGTAAGCTTAGTAGATAACACGAGTTTTTGAGGTGAAATGTGCTCGGTCCGAGTGTCGATGTGAATAATAACACTGGGACACAAGAGTAAATCCAAGCTGAAGAGTTTAAAATGGGATGAAACATGTGCTCTGAACTCCACTACTAGCTACAATTCATCGATTCTACTAAACATAAGTTAGTTCTTTTGATAAAATAAATCAACTGAGTCCCAGAGTGAACATCAACTCTGAGATACAGGTACATCCAGCTGACGAGTCCCAAATAGGACGAAGTGGTGTGCATCCTGGATTCCACTGCTAGCCACTATCCATCTCTGCTTACCAAACTATGAATTAATATATAAAATGATAAACAAAATTGGTTTTTTTACCTTCACTTGGCACAGGAAGACCAGATGATCGGCATATTTCATCTAGATTAGGCAATGCAGAACTAGCTTCACCAAGAAAATGTGCATGATGTTGACCATTGCCAACACCACTAGAAGATAATAAAGGACTTGTTATTGAATTTGTAGTAACACTATCAATATTTTGATTAGTAGAATGTGATGAAACATTTCCACTACCAATATAATTATTACTTAACATAGATTTATCTGAAGAACGTAATGTTGTTACTGTTGTACTAGTACCGTAATGAGATGATAACTGAGAATTACTACTACTACTACTATTGATATTACTATTAGCATTACTGGATGAGATATGTGATGTTGAATGAATATGAGATGTTAAATTATTTAATCCAACAGAAGTGTTCCCAACTCCAACACCTCCACTATTCACTCCATTCCCATTTGTATTTAAAGATTTTAATCGATTTAATGAAGAATTTGTAAAATTTTTCCATTCAGCTGCAGCTTCCATTGTTTGACGATGATAATTTGGATAATGTCGAAGTGAGAAACCAGCATCTTCAATAAAATGATTTAATGGTGAATTTGGTTTAATACGAATACCATAATAATGATATTTAGAATTACCACGTGTACCTAAACGTCGTGTACGTAGACCATAAAATACAGAACGTATTAATTTGCCAAATGATGCGGGATTCATTGGTTCTAATTTATGTTCATTACAATGTTGTAAATAATGAAAATATAATGTACTACGTGGAAGACTAACACCTTCAGCTGTTTCGTAATTATCAACAAGCCATTGAACCTATAAAAAAACATAAGAAACAATTTACTTTATCAGAGAATAATGTTGAAAAGAAAAAACAAGTTTAATGTAGGTCAAGGAAGAGATGCTTAAAAAATAGTATGTCAGTCAGTCAGTCAGCTACAACGTAGGACCAGGCACATAGATGCATCGGTCCAAGTTGCTATGCCTCGTTAGCACAACAACATGAACACCGGATTCATAGAAGTAGTTAATTTAATGGTGGTAGTATATAAGGATATACTATAGGAAGAAAGTTATGAATCAATTTTAATCTGAAGGTTTAATGGAAGATAAAGAGTGTATACACCTACGCCATTGTGATCGATTCTGAGCCATGTCACACAGAGTCTCCAACCATTGGTTACGATAGTCACGCGGACCCCAACCAGGTAGTCTGCATCTGCCCACATGGCTCAGGCTAGAAGTTAGTGACTTCAAGCTCTGATGCCACGTCTTGGTTTGGCCACCCCTAACTCTCTTCCAATCATCCTCAATACTAGTCAGCATTGCACGTCGTGGTAATCGGTGTTTAGGCATACGTACCACGTGGCCTAACCATCTCAATCGATGAAGATTCATGACCTCATCAACTGATTTACCATCATTCCCTAATACCCTGCGTCTAACCTCACTATTACTTACCCGGTGATCCCAGCAGATGCGAGCAATATTTCTAAGACATCTGTGGTGAAACACTAGTAACTTGCGAGTATCTTCTACTCTTAATGGCCATGTTTCACAGCCGTAAAGTAGGACAGAGCGAACTGCTGCGCAGTATACTCGTTCCTTAATTGATAGACGGGTATTTTGTCTTCGCCATAGGTGACGTAGTATATGACATGGATTTCAGTCGTCGGCTGTAATATATATTAATATACGAAGCTAATATATTAAGTACTAACTAGAAAGTTGTACGTAGCTAGGTTTCAGCAGCTGTTGTCGTCTGAGCTCTGTTATCACTCTCCCATATCAGTAGGGCAATTACTACTAGTAACCTAGTCTCCTTTTCAGATCCCTTAAGAACAGTGTGTAGACAACTGGGAAATGATAATCGCCTACCAACATTTTCAACACCATTTAGGAACATCTTATTCATTGATTGACTAACTGAAGATTAAATAAAATGTACTAGATCTAAGATTTATCCAGTAAGAGTTTACTTTTGTGTGTATAAAACAGACAAAAGACATTATGGTACAATAAAGTAATAACAATAAAAAGGTATCACACAGAATACCGTAAAGAAACAAAAGATAGAATTGATTGCATTATCAATATATAAACCAATGAACTAGATTGGTATTTAATAGATGCATTATACATAACCTGCTACCGCCTACCCTGATATTTGGTTTGGCAGAGTAGACGGTTAGATGTAAAGATAGCTAAGGGTGGTCGAAGTAGTACATAGGATTAGCCCATAAATTTATCGAGTGATACTCTGAGGCAGATGTGGTAGGGGTCCGGGTGGTAACTATGGTCAGAGTTTGGAAACCTTAGAGGAGATGATTCAAAGTCAATCGAAATGCCACAGATGCATTCATTCTTTGTTTACCCTTTAGATTTCGAGTTTCAAAATTACTTTATACCTCTTATTCTTTCTTCTCGAATTACATTGTCCCAATAATGGTAAAGAATACACAGTGTAGAAGCTGTTGAAACAAAATCCATAAAACATGTTCGAAACACCAAAGCTGTTGTTTTTAGATCATAAAATCAAGTGCACTATCATGATCGGATGGCGAGAATACTCATTGTCGGACCTCGACATTATTTCCACAGTCTTGTCATTGAATGTTTTGGGAATTGTCGAGTGCAGTTATGTCCAGGAATACTAAGCAATAGGAGATAATGACTAGTCGTAAGACTGAAAATGGATGGTGAAATTAAGTAAACTTGTCTGTTCAACTTCTCGACTGTAATGATGAGGAAAGGTATGTGTATGCCATAATCCTGCCTGAGTTGTTTTTTTCTGCATAGACTTCAAAATGTTGGTAAAATTTTCAGGAGCGTACTATTCTTGAGTTACAGGTATATTGAACAAACATTTAACGATTAGACAATGGAATCAAATCAATTATTGATAGTGAACAGCTAGAAGCAATCGAAGAGTTTGTGTATTTGGGTAGCTGTGAAAGTGCTGGTGGTGGCGTAACTGATGAGATCAACTTATGTATAATGAAAGCCAGAGCGGTTTATGCCAATCTGAGCCATCTTTGGGGCTTTTATATTTTTTTCTCAAATGAACTGCTTCTTTTATTGATTTTTTCACCTACTCAATTATACTCACCTTTTCTCTACCTCTTAGAAAGCTCATTTTCTTGACGTTTAGCACTAGTACCAATATTTATGTGTTTAAATATAAACACATGAACAATGAAATCACAACCAACTACTCAATGTCTACTTACAGTGACAGGACTAGCTTTTGCTGTATGGGATATGGAGGATCCATCATCATCTAATTGACTACTTTGTACTAAATATGTTGCACCTTGATGTGTAACTAATTGAGCATGACCAACACCAGATGTGGCAGTTAAATTTGCATGTGCCGCAGCAGCAGTATGTAAGGCACCAACATGACCTGTTGCACTATTCGCTGCACCAAAAGCAGTAGCTAAAACCTAAAAAATTCCAAAATACATTAGACAGATACGATATATAAAGATAATGTAGAATGTTGCACAAAACTATGACGCAATAATTCATCATATTTTGGAACAGAAAGGAACAATGGATAAAACTGTACATTAACAAAAACTGCGTAGTGTCTTAAGATTGGGAGGAGGGAGGATGGTGGAAACTAGAATACATGGAAATATGATACAAAGTGCAATAAAGCCACTGTGACTGACTATTAGCCATGTAACTGCTCAAGGTCACCAATAATTAATGATGTACAAATGCCCCGATATCCCCAAGTACAGACAAGGGTGGAGGGATTTAAAGCCTTCTTTCTCCTACTCACTGCCTTCTTACTATAGAGCTTTTGCATACGAAATCGGGCCCCTTTGTACCAACGTTCACGTTTTTACATAAATCGAAAATACAATCATCACGTGAACCCCAACCAATTATTACAAGCCTATTCACATGGACAAGCGGTCAATGGACTGAAATAATGTGTTTATATAACCACATCTCTAAGTCATTTTCAACGTACTAATTCACTCATATCCCTGACAGCACTGAGTGTTAAGGTAGATCGGCGGTGTTTGAGAATATATAACACATATCCCAGCCACTTTAGTCGAAAATAATTTAGAATCTCATCGACTGATTCAGCATTTTTTTAAATGTAGCATTTAACTTCCACATATTAATGATAACTTCAGGTAAGAATTGTACAACAGTATAAAAAACTAAAGTTGAACACATTAAAGTAATTTTAGCCACAAGATTTGAGGATGTCCCATAAAGGAAGTTGATCTCATATCGAGTCATAAATGAATGCCCACTACTGACCAACCAACTAGTTATAACAATGACGAAGACACTAACCTGTCCATTAGCTGTTTGATAATACGTTTGTCCACCTGAAACAGGAGCATAAATAATCGGTGTATATTCTTGATATTGTCTACGGAGGAAAATAAGTGGGGAAAAACATCCAACAAATACGTTGTTAGTAATAATACAATTTAAAATATTATATTAGATATTGAATGAAAAAACAAAGAACCAACAAGGTAAACTCAAAGAAAATCATATTACTGTACACATTCTCTTCAATGAAATGAAATAAGGCCACCAAAATAATTTGTTATAATTTCACCATTTATTTATTTAAACACATAAATATTGGTACAAGGGGGCACCAGATACATATGCGCCACACAAATCTCATTTGATTTGTATGAGGGTTGGGATACTGTCCAGGTGCCCAAACTGGAGCAGGTGGTTTTCTTAGGGGGCCACACCACCAGCCTTTGACCTAAAGATCTGATCCACAAGACAGTGGAGCATTGTAAGGAGATGCAGTCCCATGGTAGTCGGCGACCAACAACTGATTCATACGCCATTTGTTCCCTCAGTATACTGGAGCCAACCCATGTGCACCATTGATTTGGAATTGTGGTTTTCCAACTCTCCTAGGTGGAATTTCCATGTCCACCAACCCGGTTAAAGCGCTGGACATTCGCTTTTCATCCTTTCAATTTGATAAACAACACCCGTGTTGCGAGAAAGCTGTGAGTAGGACCACCAAATTTAAAATCAATAATATTGTTTCTCTTGACATTCCCTCCATTCATGAAAATATAATAATTCGATTAGTTAAAATATATTCCTGGATGTTTATAGAAGTCCAACTCTTCAGCTATTTTATCGTTTCATATTTTACAAAGTTGTATGCACTAACGATTTGTTCAAATTGATTTCATCAATAATCATCCGAATTGTGAATCAATGTTTGAAAAATATATGAGATTGAAAATGTTTGGTATTTACATCCACATACAGGAAGCTGACTGTTACTTTTCTGGGCTTCAGTTAAAATTCAAGTGTTTATAGTCTTCGTTCAATAACCTGATCCGATCTTTATAAACAACTATTTTCCTTTCTCAATAAACGATCGACAATATTTGATAAATTTTCTGAGAGTACTTCTTATGTTTCACTAAAGAATATTAGTAGCTTAGTTCCTGTAAATATATATGTATATGGAACAGATCATGCATAACTATAACTGAACAGCTTCAAACCAAATTCATTAAATACAAATAAAGGCAATATAATGAAGACTTGACGGTACACAATCGTATTAATGAAATTCATGCAAGTCAACATATACCACCGACCAACATGCCTATAAAACAATACAAGTTAATAATAATTCATTACCGTTTTTTTACCTCAAACAAAACTACCCTCATCCCAATTAACAAACTAATTAACAGAAAACATGCACTTGAATGTCACTTCATAAGATTCACACGTACAATATAAAATGTATTGCACTTCAAAATGGGGGGCGGGTTAGGAGTACTAAAAAAAGCACACACACATGGCGGGGGGGGTTAGGAGGGAAAAATTAGATTAATTTAAAACGAGTAAATAATGATGATTTGGGGGGGGAGATAGGAGGGGTTAGCGATAGCAGTATAATTTCTTCATTCCATTTTTAAATCAATCACTCAATTGTTTGATAACAACAAACGAAACTCTAGAGAGATGGATCAAGCATAAATTACCCAGACAAAGATTTCGTGACTGATGCAAATAGTTTTCTTAATGGCGTACCAGACTTAATTTCGAGAATCCCACTGAAAATCAAGAAATTTGATAAGAATCCAAAGAGAATGAAAGAAGAGCAGTAGAAGCATTGAAAACTGTGATGTAAATTAAAATATATACAACTAGAGAGGGTTTTTATTGTTGTGATCAGTGGAAAAATGAGGCATTTGGTATAGATAGACACATATATATATACTCGTCTGCATAAAAGTTAATTCATATTCTATCTGACATAAAACTTAGAAAATACTTTTGTAATCTACTAAACCAAATACAAATAGTGTGGTCGCTAATAACGAACTTTGAAATGGACTTCAGATGTAGTGGCAAGAAGTCACAACCGGTGCTCATTCATATCAGAATTAAGACAATTTTCGTAAATGGTGTATTTTATTGTGAAACCATAAAAGTCGGATATGTTGACAGCTAGACTTCGACTTAATGGGTCTAAAAGTGATGGGACCACCACGAGACCCGGAGATCCTACGTTTGATTCTTCGTTTATAATACTTCATTAGCTGAAGTCAGTCGATAAAGTCAATTACAACAACAGATTGAACGATTTTCACAAACTAAGTTAATATTATTAATAGCTAAAATAATTCCTTATCACAGTATATTTAATGAAAAATACAAAATCTTCTGAGGAACGAAAATACAAAATGAAGATTGATAATCCATTTGCTGTTTCCGGGGTATTTTTCGTAACAAAATGAAGGCTTTTCACACCGTAACTGTAACTATTTACATAGCACAAAGTGCATTAACCGTTTAAGAAACATACAAATAAAATCAAAGAACATACGTACCCGCCTTCTCCATTTGCAGTATAAACAGTTTGTTCTGCAATAGCTTCAATATAATGTGCTGGATATATAGTTTGTGAGTTATTTGAATGTGCTGTTTGTAATAAACTGGTTTCTACCCCACTTGTTGGAGGACGACTACTAGTAGAGTCGGAAGCTATCATGAAATATTAATTCTCAGTATATTTCACCTTACCAATTTTACTAAGTAGGACATGTTGACCACCTTGTTGTAAAATTGTATGATTTTTTGGAGAAAGATGAACAATGGTGGTACCTGGACCAGATGCTGATTGCATGGTCTTGATTGTAAGGGAAAATGTGAAAATTTGTACACCTAAAACATGAGAATAAATTGAATCAAGTGATCTCCCTTAAGTAGATATACCGGTGAAAAGTATTTAGGAATTAGATAAAGTTATGTGAACAGAAGATGAATCTGGGTAATCCTATTACGCCAAAATAAAAGGATACTTAATAGTTACACTGAAGTAGGTTACGACGAAAATAAATTACAGAGTATCCAAGCTACTTTGTGAAAAATATAATGAAAGCAAAGTTTTAAAGTAATCTAGTCCCACTATATAGAAAAGATAACGTCACTCTTCTAAACGTGAGTCAGTTTATGTTTGATCCGTGTGTTACTATTCATGCAACTACACTTATAGTCATTAATAACCAGTGTAGGATATGGTGGAGACTGTTATGAACTCTTATGATTCCCGTGAACGTTTGCTTGTTCTGCATCTAGTGCACATCTTTAGGTGTATCATATGTCAAACATTTTGGTCAGATGCGCTTAAATTGACGAGTCCATGATCTATAACTGCTTAGCTATAGTAAGACAAGGATCTGATGGTTATTTGCTTTTGACCTTAGAAGTTGCCAGCACTAACTGGATGACCGAGGCTTACTTATAGTTATTGTAACGGGTAACAACTGAGTAGACGTAGTTGTGTAAAAAGATAAGTAGGTCTTCTAGGATTCCAACCCAGAGAAGACTGTGTAAACGTTTTACAGCAAATGCCTATTGCAGACAGTTTATTTTGATTAGGTGACAATTTGGGGAATATATAGAGAACATTAAACTATATAACACCGTACAATGTATGTGAATAGAATACATTGATGAATAGATACTGTCAAAGATGGTCAGAGACTTCTACTCTTTCTGAAGTACATGATTAAACCTTAATTATGCTATAGGGACTAAGATTTCCGTCATTCAGTCATAAGCATAATCCTACGCTTTAGTAAAGCTCGAAAACAATGAACCTATAAAACTAGGCTAATTTCGGACTATACTGCGAATGTATCATCTGAACAATGTTATATCTAGATTTCGACACTTACCTGTAGTTATGCTTTCTGACCTGAAGCCAATACTAAACTATCTATTGAAGCTATTGTATCCATAGCTATTAACGAAAGTTGTATAAATGAAGTATACTATTACAATAAAGGCAATGAGTTGCTTTGTTTGGCTAACAACGGTTGAAAAAAAGAGGTGGCATGGGAGTTCTTTGAAAAAATAAACACGGAGAATGTGTCACGCGCTGGTGTAGAACAGGATTAGTGTCTTAGAAACGACTAATTAGGTAACATGGTATGTTTCCCGGAAAAGTGCAGGTGTTTTAGACTGATAGCTTAAAGAAGAAAAGTGCTTAAGCAGCATTCACTAATTTGTATGGTTGATAAAGTCAAGAAACCGGAACATGGACGAAATATACTTTTACGAAACTCTAAACATCTGAATTTGCACAGGATTGTAGGCTTTTGACGTATAACGAATCAAACACTTGGCAAACCACCAAATACTGAAAGCACTGGAAAATGTGTTTTGTGTGAGAGTCTTCAGTATTGACAGTTATCTAGGTATACCCAGAGGAAATACAGAAAACCCTTAGGTAAGATTTTTCAACTAGTGTGGTCAATATGTAGTATGAATAGCCACAAATACTATGTATTTATGAATAAATATCCGGGGATAGTGGCATACCAACAACCAAAACAAAAACAGTATCAAAGTCGACTTTCATGTGGATTGATTTTCATCAAGATATGATAAAAGGTGAACTCCTAGGTTATTTTGGGTTAAATAATGAGATGTAGCACATTAGTCGCCTTTTACTCTCGTATTATTGTGACTAAAGTACTTGGAGTGGTGTTTCAGAACGAGTTCCAAGTCAAGTAGCGCAGCATGGATTACTTTAAAAAGAGCTATTGGTGATGTTTAACTAGGTGTAGAGAGTTCTATGAAGCTTCAGAAGCTTTTTACAAATTAGGCATACTTTGAAACCAAGCTACAAGAACGATATTCGTTAATAACCGTCCTGGTCAACAGTCACAAATACATCGGTAGGACTAGACTGATTATACGAATACAATAGCTCGAAATATAAAATAGTATTTATCTGACTTATTACATGTTGCTTGAACTTTTATTACTAAGATTACAACATTGAGGCCGCAAACTACTATTTAAATCATAAAATGAAAATCCCACCTCAGTTGACAGGAAACAGTCGCCAACAGCTACGGTGACTATGGCGCTCACTATGGCGGCAAAGCGTTATGTCAACGGTTGCCAGCGTCACAAAATATGACTTGTTTTAACGAATAAGTTATACAAACTCCTGGTAAAAATCGAATAACTTTCGAACCATAAATCACATTGGGATAAGTGAGTAAAAGCTAAAATATTATTTTAGACACCATAATTTTATTGATTATGTACAATGTACAATTGGAAGTCCTCTTATTTGGATATGAAAATAATAGCCTGGTAGTTAATGATGGATTTTTATGACAACTTTATGGTACCTGGGTATAGTTTCTAACAATTTTATTGTCTCACCGTATTTAATTACAGAAGCTATACATGTTTTGAGGGATATTTATGTTGGATTATAGTCTAAATATAATAAGCCATTAATTTTCAACATGGAAGGAAAAGAGGGAGGAGATTGTGCCACAGAAATATTACAATATCAGTCTGTCGAATGTTAAGATATATGAGAAAAGGGGATTAAAAAATGCTAACCGGTGTCCAAAACTTCTGAGTCGTATTAGCGAAAAGCTGGAGCTTTTAAAGTTCAAAATTCTGGCCCATAACATTACGAATCCCCTATATCCAACAGCCTTAACATAGGTTTATAGGTGAGTATCCAGTCATATGGTTATATTTCAGGACCATTTTAAACATCAGACCTCATATTAACAGATAGGAAACGAATTCGCAAACAATATCTGTCGACTAGAGAAAACGAAATGTGACATAGAGGGAAGCAAAAAGATTCACACGAAATGCAACAGGTCTTAAAACAACTGGCTTTGAAGATGCTGCCTCAAGGGCTTACGTTTTTCTACATAGATAATTCTGAAAAGCATTTGTGCTTCAAAACTTCAACCTTTTTTCTTTTCAAAGGTTACTTTTGAAAGTGAGATCGCAGCTAAGGGAAGCCATATCAGTAGACTTTCCAACTGGGTATCCATAAACGTCTTCACACCATTCATACTTATTTCTATACTGTCAATATTTTAGTAGAATATTTACAAATTTATTCTCTAGGTATCTGTGTAGCCCTCCATACAGTTAAACAAACGCGGGTCAAGACAACAAGTGTGGCTGAAGCATTTGCATCAGTAGGCCTCAATATACACATGAAAAAACAAGAACCTCAAATACAAAACGGAGAACACCAACCCAATCACACCTTATGGAGAAACTCTTTGGGAGGTGGAATCTTTCATGTACCTGGGAAGCATCATTGATAAACAAGGAGAATCCGATACATATGTAAAGGCAAGGTTTTCCGTAGCACGGTCAGAATTTCTACAATTGAAGAACATATGAAGCTCAAAGCTACTGTCAACTGATATCAGAATCATAATCTTCAGTACGAACGTCAAGACAGTCCTACTTTATGGAGTTGAAATTTGAAGAACTACGACAATCATCATCAAAGATGTACAAGTATTTATAGACTGTTGTCTCTGTAAGATACTCAATATCCGTTGATCGGATACCATCAACAACAGCCTAATATGGGAGAGAACAAATCAGCTTCCAACTAAAGAGGAAATTGGGAAAAGATGTTTGAGGTGGATAGGACATATGTTGCGGAAATCACCAAACTGCATTATGCGTCATGCGCTAACTTGGAATCGTGAACTGAAACTAAGGGAAAAGCGCCAAGGAATACATTGAGTTGAGAAATGGGGGGTATACATCAAAAGGATGAACAGCCATTAAAAACAGATGGAAATGATTATTTGGGGCAGAGTTGGAAGGAGAATGATTTTGTGCAGCCTATGCTCTTCCACAAGGGGTTACAGGTGTAAGGAAGCACGTAATTTGTGTAGTCATTAGGACTATAAGATATAGATAGGGACGAACCTACTTAATGTTTCGGGTAAGACCAACTCATAAAAGAAGCTAGGAATGAAATCGTGATGAATTATTGCAAGAGATCAAATGTGCTCTTTTATGCTTCGTGATACCACCTAACTGACGTTTCTCTTAACTTGTGCAGACTACTTTCTAACTGAAAATTTATTTTCGGAATCATTCAAAGCAGATGGTTGAAAGCTACGTCTGTGATGCAAGGCTTTCTTTTATCTTGTAACTAGGATTTCTTTTTACCTGTAGTGCTCCTGTAAGTAATGTTTACAGAGGTAAAATCAGAGTTGGCCTGTCCCTCTGCTACACTTGGAACTATTAATAACGCTATATTTTTCTGGATAATTTTGCGATTAAGTATCACGAACAGTACACGCGCCCGGCATCTTTGAAACAATCTACTGAAAAAACATTTAAAAAACTATCTGCACTGATAACCATCATACCATGGATTATAAGCAAATAAATATTCATCATCATCAAGAGGCAGTATTACGTCCGCTAGATAATGTCTAGTTTTATCCATGTCTGTGCCGGGAAATATCAACGGAAGAATCAATCATGTTTCCTATTTTCGAGGAAGATTTCTGTTACTTAGATATTGGGACTTTATGAGACAGAAAGATATCCAAACGGAAGAATGAATTATCTTCCGTGGTAATTGATAAAATCAATACTGTCCATAATGAATAGTGAAGACAGTCAAGTACCAGTAATACTTCAGACCGTTGCTACGTGACTCTACAATAACACATCAGCTGATAATCATTTACTTCACGGATAGAAAACCATCAACGGGTAGATCCACAAATACCTGTAGACCATACTGGAAGACACGATCCGATATAGTACGCGAGCCAGAATTGTTAAAGTTGTTGATGGCTAAGTAGGGAATGG